ATTACCCAGTCTCGGGCAGTTCCTTACAGCAGTGTGAAAACGGACTAAATGGTCTCAAGTTTTTTGTTCAAAAGTGGACATTTCAAATAACCTATTGCAGGAGCTCTACATACTGGTACCCTCTCCTACGCAGTTCTGAGTGTCTACTTACTTTGCCTAAACATCCCTTATTTATTTCAAGTAAACACAAGGTGTTTCTCATGTCATTAACTACTCTGCTTCAACTCCTAACTTCATATGCAGAGTTGATGTTGCTGAATGCCTGCTGGATAAATCAGTAAAAGAAACCACTTTGCAATAACAAAATAACTCACCTAATTGAAGATTTAACTGCAAACATAAAAACCCAGTAGACACACATTTGGACAGGTCTACAGACATCGCTGACCTTCTGGTATTGCTCTAGCATCAGCCCCAGCCAATTATTGGAAAAGGTCTTCTGTGTACACGGATGGCTGTCACCTCAAAAGCCGGGCACTGAAAAGATTTTGCAGAACAAGGAAAACAATACCACTCTTCTCACTGAGATTTGTTTTTAGAAAATTTATTTTTTCACAAAAAGATGCTACTTGATGTTAACATGCAATGGGCTTATTATTTTTAAGTGACTCCATTAAATCTATTTTTAGATTTCTCAGTTTTAATTTCTAAGGTAGCAAATGTCAGCAGATATCAGCCACATAAGCAAATGCTCTGGGGTCTTGACACGGAAGTGTTTGAGAATCACTGTCCCAGAGTGTTAAAGGATTGGGAAGGGGAGGGGAATGTGCAGCCCCGTTATGAACAGTGTCCAGCCGGAGGTTTTACCGGAACACAGCCAGGCCTGTTCATCGTGTACTGTCTGAGGCTGCTTCCAGCTGCGATGGGAGATCCTTTTGGGCGGATGATACTGGAAGCCAGTCGGACGGGGCTGAGCAAAGGCACCCATGATGGGAACAGGAGGAAAACCCACACGTTTGGTTATCAATCAACTACAAATGCGCAGTGAGCCTTGGGGTCCCCTGTGCTGCCCTCAGGCTGCATCTGCCTTTGAGTGAAATGTTTTAGCCAAAAGGCAGAGGAGAGGAGAGAGTCTCCTGCACATCTGTCCTCCACAGCGTCCCCAGGATGGGAGGAGGAGGTCCCCGAGAACTGAACAAGCTGGGTTTGACCTGAGGGAATGTTTTCCTCTTGAGGAGGTTGGCTGGGTCATGTCAGTGATGAGGTTTAAGGACAGGGCCAGGGACCCTCAGCAACCTGGATATGGCTAGACGGAGCTGGCAGCTTCTCATTGGCCGAGCTCTGGTCCCCTCCCCAAAACTGAAGGTCACTTCCCTGTCCTAACCGCAGCTGGACTCCGACTAGATGAGTCCCACTTAGGAGAACTTGGTAGTAGGCTATCCTACCACCGGGGGACACTAGGTTTTAACTGGGGACACTATGATGAGGGACTTTGTCTTGTTACTGGGGGACACTATCCTGTTACTGGGGGACGCTGGAGAGTAACTGGGGAACATTACCCAGAAACCGGAGGGACACTGTCCTGTACTAAGGAACATTATCCTATAGCTGGGTGACACCAGCTTATAATGGGGGACACCGCCCTATAACTGGGGAACACTATCCTGTTACTGGGGGACGCTGGAGAGTAACTGGGGGACATCTTTTTTCCTTGTTTTGCAAACCCAGTAACTGGTGGGACATTGCCCTGTAACTGGAGGAAAGTAGCTTATAACTAGGGGACACTATACTGGGGGACACTATCCTGTAATTGAGGGACACTACACTATCCTGTTACTGAGGGACACTACCTAGTAACTGAGGATACTACCTTATAACGAGGGGACGATACTGTATAACTGGAAGACACTATGAGGGGACACTGCCCAGTAGCTGGGGGGACATCACTCTACAACTGGGGGGACATCACCCCATAACTGATGGGATATCACCCTATGTAACTCAGGGACATCACCCTATAACTGATGGACATCCCCTTGTAACTGGGGGGACATCACCCTATAACTGGGGAGGTGTCACCCTATAACTGGGGGGATATCACTCTATAACTGGGGGGACATCACCCTATAACTGGGGGACATCGCCCTATAACTGGAAGACATCACTCTAAAACTGGGGAGACATCACCCTACAACTGGGGGGATAACACCCCATAACTGGTGGGACATCACCCTGTAACTGGGGGACATCACCCTATAACTGAGGAACATCATGCTATAACTGGGGGACATCACCTTATAACTGAGGAACATCACCCTATAATTGGGGGACATCACCCTATAACTGGGGGACATCCCCCTATAACTGAGGAACATCACCCTATAACTGGGGGACATCACCCTATAACTGAGGGGACATCACCCTATAACTGGGGGGATATCACTCTATAACTGGGGGACATCACCCTATAACTGGGGGGATATCACCCTATAACTGGGGAGACATCACCCTATAACTGGTGGGCCATCACCCTATAACTGGGGGGATATCACTCTATAACTGGGAGGATATCACTCTATAACTGGGGGACATCACCCTATAACTGAGGAACATCACCCTATAACTGGAGGACATCACCCTATAACTGAGGAACATCACCCTATAACTGGGGAGACATCACCCTATAACTGGGGGGACATCACCCTATAACTGAGCGACATCACCCTATAACTGAGGAACATCACCCTATAACTGGAGGACATTACCCTGTAAGTGTGGGGACATCACCCTGTAACTAGGGAGACATCACCCTATAACTGGGGAGACATCACCCTGTAACTGGGGAACATCACCCCTTAACTGGGGGACATTACCTCATAACTGGGGGACATCACCCTATAACTGGGGGACATCACCCTATAACTGGGGAGACATAACTGGGGGGATATCACCCCATAACTGAGGGACATCACCCTATAACTGGGGAGACATCCTATAACTCGGGGTACATCACCCTATAACTGGGGGACATCATCCTATTAACTGGGGGATATTACCCTATTACTGGGAGACGTCACCCTATACTGAGACACTATAATAGGGGATGACTGCCTTATAACTGGGATATACTACCCTATAACTTGGGGGTACACTATGCTATGACTGGGGGTACATTACCCCTATAACCCAGGGGATGCTATTCTGTAACCAGATCCACAACTGGGGAACAGTATCCTGTAACTGGGGACACTGCCCTGCACCTGGGGGGCACCACCTTGTAACTTGAAGGTCAGGGGCCAGGATCTGGTGCCCCTGAGCTCAGCTCCTGTAGGTGGGGAGTTTCGGGGCCCCTGAGGGAAATTCCACCAGATAGGGCTGTCTTCAGCGTCCCAGCCTCACCTCATCATCTTTCAGGGGACACACTCCTGACCCTGTTGCCACACATCCGGGGTGCAGAAGGAGTTCGCCTCCAGCTCCCATCCAAGGCCTAAGGAGAATCTCAGGTCTCCTGTTGGGTGCCCCCTGAGAAGGTGTGGGGTGCCAGCCACCCCAGTGCCCTCAGACCTATCTGGACAGGGGCGTCCATGGTGTGATGTGGGCAACAGACTCTGGACAAAGTGATGGAGAAGACAACGATGGTGGTGGCCACTCAGCCCGACGTACCTGCCGAGCGCCCCCCACTTCCTGCTACCCCGACAGCACCTGCCAAGCGCCCCCCACTTCCTCCTACCCCGACAGCACCTGCCGAGCGCCCCCCACTTCCTGCTACCCCGACAGCACCTGCCGAGCGCCCCCCACTTCCTCCTACCCCGACAGCACCTGCCGAGCGCCCCCACTTCCTGCTACCCCGACAGCACCTGCCGAGCGCCCCCCACTTCCTGCCACCCCGACAGCACCTGCCGAGCGCCCCCCACTTCCTCCTACCCCGACAGCACCTGCCGAGCGCCCCCCACTTCCTCCTACCCCGACAGCACCTGCCGAGCGCCCCCCACTTCCTGCTACCCCGACAGCACCTGCTGAGTGCCCCCCACTTCTGCTGTCATGCCACCTAGTGCTGCTATGACTTAGAGACGGTGAGACCAGGACGGATCAAGGAGGCCTCTGGAAGCCACCCCCGGGGATCGTCCCCAGTGGCAGCACACAGGGAGGGACAGGGGCTGCTGGGGGCCCCCTCGGCCCCAGGCACATTATATTTGGAAAGCTTCCAGGTTGCCCAGGACCAGTGCAAAGCTGCAGCCATGGCTTAGGGAAAGAGGGACAGTGAGAGGAGACAGAGCAGGGATGGGGAGAAAGGTGACGCTCAGACCCTCGGGGCGGCAGGCTGGGACCGTCACTCTCACCGCAGCCCAGCGCCCCCAGTGGCTCCCTGGGAAATTCACCCTGGGCTGTGGCCTGCGTCTCAGGCCGGGTCCCGGGTTTGGTGTTGGGCTCTGGGTGAGGCTGGGAAGCAGGAGTGCCCTAGGCAGAGGGGCCAGGCATTAGGACAGGAAGGGCAGACACCAGCGGGCAGCACAGACCCTAAACCCACTCCACCCTCCTGGAAGTCCTAGCGTGTGCCCCCATCTTCGTCTCATCTTGACCCTCCGAGGATGGGAGGCTGAGACTCCCTGGAGAGCGGGTTCAGGGACCGAGAGGAGCTCTGGAGAGGATGGAAGAGTCGCTCCTCAGCCTATTCCATAAACAAAGGTGCCCAGAACAGCACGAAGCCCAGCAGGAAGAGGAACCCACAGGGCCCCAGCCCCGCCCACACCTGCCCCCATGCCCAGACGGCATGGTTCTCCCACAGGAGAGGAGTAAGGCGACTGGTTCCCAGATTCCCAGGAAGAAAGCTCTGTGGGGACCATCTCCCCAGAACCTTCTGGAACCCAGGACAGGAAAATTTATGTGGGTGGGAGAGGGGGTCTTCTCTCCTTCAATTTCTGCTCACGACACCCGTCCCTGCCCAGGAGCCACCGTCCTTGTTCCTGTAGCTAAGATGCCACACAAGGGGCCCCTCCTACCCGGCGGCTTCTGTCGGGGAGAGCTGGAGTGGGTGGGAAGGTCTAAATCACACGCACAGATTCCAGCCTCTTTTTAAGCCCAGGCTTTATTCCAGCCTCCTTTGGAGGAATTCGACTGAGAAGTTCCCTCTTGCTCGACCGAGGCGCCATGCCATTCTGGGCTCCTACCGCAGGGCTCCTTCCCTTGGTCCCAGCAATGCTGATGATGTGGCACTGGGGTCTCCGAGGAGAGGAGGCCTCCGGGCAGGAACCGGCCTCAGTCCACGCCGTCCAGGGACTGTGGCTCTGCCCTCTCCAGCTGTAGCACCTGGGAAGAGAGGCCTGTGACACCACAGTCCCACGAAGACAGACTGTGGTGCTGCTGAAACACTGGCACACACCAAAAGTGGGTCACAAGTCCCAGAGGTGAAAAAGCAAATTACCAGAGTCCCCACAGGACGCTGGAAGTGTGTGCCGGAAAAGCCCGGAGGGGCAGGTCCGGCACAGGCGCAGCCGGCCCCGCAGACAGCAGGGCAGCGTCTCCACCCTTACCTGCGGTATCTCTGATGTTCCCACGTGTGTCACTCTTTTGCCTGCACAGCACCTGAACCCCCTTCCCTGATCTGGGGCAGCTCCCTCCCTGCCCCAGGTGGCCAAATGACAGGGCCCGTCACCCGAGGCTTGGCCACTTTGCCGCCCCGTGACCCAGGGACACTGGGACTCAGGGATGGCAGAACAGGTCGGCATCCAGCCCAGGCAGGGTGTGGCACATAGGCTCCATCCAGCCACAGCAGGGGACACAGGGTAGCAGCCAGCTGGCCCGAGTCCCAGCTTTCCAGCCCCTGTGACCCCTGCCCTCCCTTCCACCCTCTAAGTCACTCTTCCAGTAAGTTCCATTCCATGGAAATCAGCCAGACGCAGTATCTCTTCCTTACAACCATGCGGCCCCAAACACCTTCCAGCCCCAAATGTCAGCATTCCTCAGCCTCGGCACCACCAGCACGCGGAACGGAGAATTCTCTGCCGGGCGTGGGGTTGGGATGGGCCCGTCCCGTGCACGGTAAGATGTTCAACAGCACCCCTGGGCTCCACCCACGGGATGCTGGGAGCACGGACCTCAGCCGAGTCATGAGAACCAAAATCATCTCGGGTCATTGCCTAACGTCACCCCAGAAGGCTAACGGTCACAGATGATGTAGAACCCCTGCCACTGATCCACCTCTGTTTTACATGCCACCTGCTCACCAGCTGTCACCAGCCACGAGGTACAAAGCAGCACCTCGCATCCTCTAGTTCAGCATAGGCAGGGTTTTCCTCATGTCCTTCGGGAAGCGTTGACACATCTTCCTGTTGGGTCACTACTCTGTGGTCGTACAGCACGTGTGTGTGTCTCTGCTGTGCACTAATCATTCTGTGCTGGAATCACACTGTGCTCTGGTCTCACAGGTGCCGGAAGGGCACCAGGCATCCTCAGGGTAGACTCCTCAGGATTTATCATTGTTTTTAAATTTTAAATTTTGTTTTGAGACAGGCTCTAGCTCTGTCACCTAGGCTGGAGTGATCACAGCTCACTGCAGCCTCCACCTCCTCAGCTCAGGTGATTCTCCCGCCTCAGCCTCCCAAGTAGCTGGTAGCACCGGTGTGCACCACCATGTCTGGCTAATTGTGGTATTTTTTGTAGAGACAGGGTTTCACCATGTTGCTCAGGCTGGTCTCCAATTCCTGGGGTCAAGTGATCCTCTTAAAGTGCCGGGATGACGGGCGTGAGCTGTCACTGTTGACTGATTCATCGGCCGGCTCTCCCCTCTCATCAGATGATCCCCAGCGCTGGGGAGGCCACGGCCACCCTGCTCCATCATGGCTCCTGCCTGGCTTTGGAAAAGGGATGGACCTATCCTTTTTCACTGACGGTATTAGTCCTTCCTTGATTCTATGAGTAATTAATAAGAAGAAAAAGCAGAGTGTGTTGGAAGCCATGGAGCCATCTGGATACCCTGGTTGTTTGGAAATGATGGTGACTGGCACCACATTCACAGAGTGGTGTCCAGCTGCTAATTCTATTTCATGCAATGCCGGCAAATAGGGCCCAGCCAGAAGGAGTGCGCATGGGACTCAGCACACTCGGCAGTCAGTGCAGCCATCGTGGAAAACAGGGCAGAGAATCCTCCCAAGATTAAAAATAGAACTGCCATAGCATCCAGCCACCCGGCAGCTGGGTGTAACTGACAGGAAATGAACGCATCTGCTGAGGAGAGGTGTGTACAGCCACGTTCACCGCACCCCCGTTCACAAGAGCCCAGCTATGGAACCAGCCTTTGCACCCTGCACACGCTGATGGATGAGGGGACGGAGAAAATGCGGGGCGCACACACCGTGGAGGAGGCTGCCGCCTTAGGAAAGGAGGAAATCCTGCCGCTTGTAACCAAAGGGATGACCCTAGACAAACCACATCCGAAGTGAAATGAGCCAGGCAGAGGAAGACAGACACCGCGCGCGCACTAGGGCTCATCTGCGGAATCTCAAAAGGTGATCTTGTGGAAGCAGAGACCACAACGGGGCTTACCAGCGGGCAGGGAGACGTCAGTCAAAGGACACACAATTTCTGTTAGATTGGAGGAGTAAGTTCAACAGATCAGTGCACAGCATGGTGACTGCAGTTAATACTGCAAAATTGCTGAGAACATTTTTTTTTATTTTTTTGAGACAGAGTCTCACTCTGTCACCAGGCTGAAGTGCAGTGGCACGATCTCGGCTCACCGCAACCTCTGCTCTTGGGTTCAAGCCATTCTCCTATCTCAGCCCCTGAGTAGCTTGGACTACAAGTGCACACCACCGCACCCAGCTAATTTTTGTATTTTTAGTAGAGACGGGGTTTCGCCATGTTAGCCAGGATGATGGTCTCGATCTCTTGACCTTGTGATCCGCCTGCCTCGGCCTCCCAAAGTGCTGGGATTTCAGGTGTGAGCCACTGCACCCGGCCAAGAGAGTGGATTTGAAGTGCTCTCACCACACACAAATAATAAGCACGTGGGGTAAGGCATGTACCTGTGAAATAGCTGGGCTGAGCCGCTCCACCCTGCGGCACATATTAAAACGTCATGTTGTACACCATCAATATATAGAACTTTTATTTGTCAGTATTTAAAAAAAGTAAATTTAAAAGACAAAAGCCACTTTAAACCTATGTGTCCCTCTGCAGGAATGAGGACAGTAAACAATGCCACTGTGTATACAAGAAAGCTTTTCAATCCTTAATGGAAATAACCGTTGTGTTCCTTCTACAGATATGAAACACGGAGAAAGAAACATTTCTGCTGGACTTACCTGGTTTTCTATGCACCGGAACTGCCATGGCCAGCCCGTGTTGTACAAAAACGGTCGCAGATCAAACCTGTTGTCATCGGGGCTGTAGTTTTCGGCATGGTACGCGGGTGTGAGCGTGGTCATCTTGTGCCTGTTCATGGAGTACTTGGAGAAAAACCGCTTCACTTTGTCGGCGACCTGGTGGGTGTGGCAACACACGAGCTTCGTGTTCGCAGAGCTGGGAAGGCCCCGGGACAGAATTCCCTTGCCGGACCACACAAGCCGACAGTTCATGGGCTACTCCCTGCTGAGGACCTTCCCCGATGGCGGGCGTGGGGGATGCCCACACTCACGCTGGGGGCGCTGGCTGAGCTGTGAAACCAGGGTCCCCCTGCCTCTGATGCTATGGCATGCTGCCTCAGGAGATGTGAGATAGATCCCACCAAGATTTATTTCACGAGGCTTCCAGGAGGTTCCATGGGACCACCATGCTTATGGGCTTCAGCCCCGGTGAGACTCACAGCTAGTAGAAAAGCAATACTATTCTGACCCTGAAGTTTACATTCTGCCTTCAAAAAAAGGGAGGGCTTGCTTCATGTCGTGTTTACCTGGCTGTGGATGAGCCCCACTCAGATTAACTTTGGGTCAGCAGAAGATCAGAACTGGTAAAACTAAGCAGAAAGGGCCGAGCGTGGTGGCTCAGGCCTGTAATCCCAGCAATCTGCAAGGCTCAGTGGGTGGATCACGAGGTCAAGAGATTGAAACCATCCTGGCCAACATGGCGAAACCCCGTCTCTACTAAAAATACAAAAATTAGCTGGGTGTGGTGGAGCACTCCTGTAGTCCCAGCTATTCGGGAGGCTGAGGCAGGAGAATCGCTTGAACCTGGAAGGTGGAGGTTGCAGTGAGGAGCTGAGATCGCGCCACCGCACTCCAGCCTGGCGACAGAGCGAGACTCAGTCTCAAAAAATACAAAGTGGCAAGTGTCACTGTGTGAGACACGGTTTTATGATGTTAGGGTCACACCGTTATCTACTTGTTTCTACAGGTCAAACTGGCCTCTGGAAAGAGGACGTTACCTATGGCTTCCCTCTGTGACGCGTCGCACGGGCCTTACCTGTCTTGGGGTCCAGAGGTGCCTCCACGTGCTGAGGAGTTTGCAGAACATGCTGTAGGGCCCCATCTTCGCCACCTTCCTGAGTCTCCCGTAGACCGAGAGCTCCGCGTACGTCATTCCCATGTCTTCCTGTGCAGGACGAAAACCCATTCCACAGTGACAGCAAGTCACAGCTGGGGAGACCCGAAAGCTTCTTCTGGAGATGGGAACCAGAGGCCAAGGAGGCGAGACTTTCCCAGAGAGGCAGAAGCAGAGGCGGGTTTCCGTCTCCGTCGCTGGTCAGCGGGTAAGGAGGTAGCATTTGGAAAACAGCAGCGAAGAATCGGACGTTTGGTTTGGAGGACTGTCCTGGGTGAAGTGAGGCCCACCAAGAGTGCTCACGTCTGAAAGCCCAGTTCCCAGGAATGTGACCTTATCTGGAAAAAGAGTGTAGGCCGGGCACAGTGGCTCACACCTGTGATTTCAGCACTTTGGGAGGCGGAGGTGGGAGGATCGCTTGAGCCCAGGGGTTTAAGACCAGGCTGGGCAACATGGCAAGACCCTGTCTCTATGAAAAATTGAAAACATTAGGCAAGGTGGTGTGCACGCCTGCAGTCCCAGCTCCTAGGGGGGCTCAGGTGGGAGGGTCACCTGAGCCTAGGACATTGAGGCTGCAGTGAGCCGAGATTACGGCTTTGCACTCCAGCCTGGGCAACACAGCCAGACCCTGCCTCTAAAAAAAAAAAAAAAAAAAAAAAAAAAAAAAAAAAACCAAAAAAAAAAAACTAAAAGAGAAAAAGATAAAAAGTCTTTGCAGATGTAATGAAGTAAAGAATCTTAAGGTGAGACGACTCTGAATGTCGGGGGGACCCTGTAGCCAATGACATCCCTCATGAGGGCCAGAAGGATACAGGGAGGGCAGGAGGAGGCCGCAGGAAGGAGGAGGTAAAGGCTGCAGTGATGCAGCCACAAGCCAAGGAACACCTGGAGTCCCCAGAAGATGCAAGAGGCAAGAAAGGACCCCCAGCGCAGGGTCGCCAAGCCCCAGGCCATGGATTGGCGCTGGTCCCTGGCCGGTTAGGACCTGGATTGCGCAGAGGAGAGGGATGAAGGTATGTGGATGGGCGAGTGGGTATTTCCGCCCGAGCTCCGCCTCCTGTCAGATCCTCGGGGGCGCCGGATTCTCATGGGAGCGTGGGCCCTACTGTGAACTGTGCAAACGAGGGATCTAGGTTGCTCAGTCCTGTGGGAATCCACCGTCTGATGACCCGAGGGGGAACAGTCTCATCCCATCTCCCACCTCTGTTCCTGGAAAACACTGTCCTCCAGGAAACCGGTCCCTGGTGCCAAAAAGACCAGGGACCACCGCCCTGGAGCCTTCGGAGGGACCAGGGCTCTGCCAACACCTTGATTTCAGACCCTGGACTCTGGAACTGTGGGGTAAGGGATTCCCGTTGTTTAAGCCACCGGGTCATTAGTGACAGCACCCCACAGGGTGCCCGTGGAAGGCATGGCACCCTGAGCAGATGGAGCCTGTCTGCTGTCCTCCTGAGCCTGAAGTGTGGGGGACTCAGAGAACAGGGCAGGGGACTCACTGAAATCCGGGCCATGCTGGGGGTCGTGAGGAGCCGCTGGTATCACTAGCACAGTGCCAGACAACGAATACCTCCAGCCAGGCTCAGAGGCCAGTGTCACCCTGAAGCTCACACAACCCAGACCCATTCCATCTTTCAATAGCTGCTCCGATTCCCTCTCAGTTCCTACCACACCCCAGAGCCGTCATCAGACAATACGCCCAGAGCCAGAGCCAGAGCCAGAGCCAGAGCCAGGCCTTCTCGTCCTTTTCTCCAGGGGACTGCAAGTGTTTTCCCTGTGGTGGCCACGTCTGTCTTGCTCACCACGGAGTCCCCAGCACCCGACAGGTTGGGCACAAGTGGCTATTTGACTGGTTTCTTTGGCAGGAGGTAACCATTTTCCAGTGTGACATTAATTCCTTCAAGTCAATGGTAATAGCTGGAGACTTCAATACCCCACTTTCAATGCTAGACACAACAACTAAGATGAAAAATCAACAAGGAAATGGAAGATACAGACAACTCTGTCAACCAGGAGGGCCGGAAGACACCTGCAGAGCACCGAACCCCGTGGCAGCGGAAGCCGCCTGCCTCCCAGGGGCACACGGAACAGGTCCCAGGTCAGACCACCTGCCGGACCACGAGAGAAGCCTTCAGGCAACTTCAGATGTTGAAATCATACAAAGTATGTGTTCTTACCACAATGGAATAAAAGTAGAAATTCAGTCACAGAAAGTTTGGAAAGTCACAGATATGTGGAAATTAAAGCAGATATTCCTAAATAACCAAAGGATCAAGGGAGAAGTCACAAAGGGAATCAGAAAATACTTTGATGGATGAAATGAAGGGCACAACAGACTAAAACGTGTGGGAGGCAGTGAACCCAGGGCTGGGAGCGAAATTCATAGCTGTAAACACCTACCTTAAAAAAGAAAAAAGATCTCAAATCAATAATCTAACTTTCCACCTTGAGACACCAGAAAAAGAGGAGGAAATGGAAGCCAAAGCCAGCACAGGGAAGAAATGGCCGAGATCGGAGGGAAATTAAAGAAAGATGGCAGAAAAAATCAACCAAACAAAAAGTTATGCTTGGAAAGATTAAAAAACATGGACAAATCTTTACCTTTAGCTAAAATGACCAAGAAGAAAGAGGGAAGACGCAACTAAAATCAGCCGTGAAAGAGAGACACCCTAGTGACCTCATAGAAGTCAACGGATTATAAAGGAAGTCAGGTGTGCGTCGCTTAACGACGGGGACACGTTCTGAGAAACAGGTGCTCAGGCGATCGCATCCTGTGAACATCCTCAAGGTGCTTACATGCATCCAGATGCTCTAGCCGCCTATGTACCTCGGCCACATGGTACGGCCTACACACGCGCACAGCGTGTTCCTCTACTGAACGCTCTGGGTGGGGCTCTCACAATGCTGAGTACTGATGTATCTAAACGTAGAAAAGGAACAGTGAAAACACAGCAGGAAGGATAAAAAACGGGGCACCTGCATAGGACACTTCCCAGGAACGGAGCTTGCAGGACTGGAAGCCGCTCTGGGTGGGTCAGGGAGTGAGTGGTGGAGAGGAGGGCAGTGTGGCAAAGCCACCAGCATTACCTCGTCGGTCTGGGACACCTGTCCATCAGCCAAGGGCTCCAGCTCCGCGGTAGGCAGTGCGGACAGGATGCTGCAGCAGAAACACACAGAGGTCGGCAAGGCTGTGGGCCCCACAGGGTCGGGGGTGTCCCTTGTGCTGTGTTGGGGTGCAGGATCCGAGAGGTAAAGAGACAGAATGCTGAGGAACTGATGAAGAGCATCTGGCCTCGGGGGGCCGCACCACCTGTGAGCGGAGATCAGCAGCGGCCCCCAAATGCCCAGAAGCATCTGTATTTATTAGGTAAGAGCAGGGGGCAGGGTCCTGAGTGAGGTCATCACCTAGACACTTAGTGATAGGGCATACGTAATCACGAGTCACAAGCAAGGGGACCACCCCATTATGTCACCTGGGCAGAGGGGTGGGCCGTGCGCAGTAGGGGGCCGTGCCGTGTGCAGTAGCAAAGGGTCATGTACAGAAAAGGGGTCCACCCCCATTAGGTCACCAAGGCAAAGAGGTGGGCTGGGCTATGTGCAACAGATGTCGTGTGCAACACTTCTTATCTGCGGGCTGGAGACTTCAAAGGGTTTCTAAGAGAAGGATACTGTAAGCCAGTGTAGTGGGGGCTGACAGATGTGTGCTCTTCTCTAAGATATTTATGGGAGGATGATCTGAGCTAGCACAGAAGCGAGAAGAGACTGCCAGGGTGTCCGGCTGCCGTGATCCAGTCACACCAGAGGGTTCTTCTCCCTCGGTTACTTCCAGGATCTCAGGCCTGAGGCCGACTTTCCACAGGAACTGGATGCAAGGTGCTACAGCTCCTTTATCAGGAGGAGAGACACTTGTTCCAAGCCTGCCATACAGCGTATGCCCTTTCAGGCAGGGCCGCCACCCCCTGGGTCTTGGGTTCTCATCCTGGTCTGGCTGTTTTCCCACGTACTGCTTCTGTGCTGTGACTGCTCTAGGCATTCTTCCTACTACAGACTATGATATGGTTATATGGAAGGATTCTATAAATCAGCACTGAATGTGTCGGTACAGCTCTGACTATAATACCTATATGATTATATAGAAAGATGATGTAGAACTAAGTATGCTAGATATAGGTATTAAATATGATTATATAAGCTAGATATAGCAAGCAAAGTTATACTCGAGACACTAATTCTATAAACTAATATATGATTATATGTGAGGGATGATATAAAGGAAACAGCTGAGCAATAACACTATAAACTAAGATATTCTACAGGCACTAGTTGTGCCTGGGGTCTGGACAGTTCTCCTTCCTCGGTGCCCATGGTGGGTGTCACCCACAGAGGCTGGTCCGTGAAGCCAGGGTGCCCGAGCTCTGGGAGAGAATCCCCAAACTAAGTTTTCTGAGTGCCCTGGGTGGAGGAGTGTGCGTGCCGCTGTGGTCTTACGACCTGAGGAGGAGAGGCCGAGAGGGAGGCACAGCACAGGGCCAGCCCACCGGGCGCCGTCCACACCCAGGTGGAGGGGACCGTGCTGTAGGGAATGTCTGTGCCCTGTGCCCTGCAGGACATTCAGGAGCACCTCTGGCCTCTACCTGCTAATGCCAGCAGCACAGCCCATGTAACAAAGCTACTCAGCATGTCCACAGATACTACCTGATGTCCCCTGGGGGGCAGAGTCACCACAGAGAGGATAAGCAAAGAGAAGAAACATCTGTCCCTGTAACAGGGAGCAAAGGCCAGGAAGACTCCAGGCACTGATCCGTCTGCAGTCACTGCTGAAGCACAGGTACTCTGCTCAGATGCAGCCAGCCTTGTCTGCCTCGGTCCTTCAGCATGGGGATGGCGGGAAAGGGAGGCGGGGCAGGCGGGGCAGGTGGGGGAGGTGGGGCAGGGGGGCAGGCAGGGGAGGCGGGGCAGGCGGGGCAGGTGGGGGAGGTGGGACAGGGGGGCAGGCCGGGGAGGCAGGGCAGGCGGGGGAGGCGGGGCAGTAGGCAGGCGGGGCAGGTGGGGGAGGTGGGGCAGGGGGGCAGGCAGGGGAGGCGGGGCAGGTGAGGGAGGTGGGACAGGGGGGCAGGCCGGGGAGGCAGGGTAGGCGGGGGAGGCGGGGCAGTGGGCAGGCAGGGGAGGCGGGGCAGGTGGGGCAGGTCAGGGAGGCAGGGCAGGTGGGGCAGGCAGGGGAGGGGGGAGGCTGCCGCTCCCTGATCTGGCTGGAGCCTTGGGGGCTGTTGGGGCATCCACAGGAAGAAGGGGAGGCCTGGTCATGGGCCTCAGGCGCCAGCTTAAGGCAGGGCTGTTCAGCAGGCCACAGGAGCTACAAAGGCACCTGAGTGAGGCCCAGAGTGGCAGAGGCTGTGCTATGGAATGAGCCCGGTGGCTGTGGAACCACGGTCCACGAGCACACTCACCTCTGCAGGGCAGGAAGCTGGAAGCGCTCGGTGCAGAAATGGACAAAGGCCCTCAGGTCCGTCTTGCTGATCCCGCCTATGGGGTTGATATCCGCACTGGAGCAGTCGTACTTGGTAAGGTAGCCCAGGAGACTGCAGGGAGAGAGTGCGTGCGTGGGTTCCCTAGGGGCCACAGACTCCAGCAACCCCTGCCCTCACGGAGTCGCTTCTTCCAGGGGCCCTGAAGCCAGAATCATGGCAATTTCAAGGGTCCTGGAGAAGCCCCAGAGCAGCCGGCAAAGGTGGCAGGGGCTGCAGATGACCCAGGAGAGCCACTGGGTATACCAGAAGACACACCAGGGACGGCAGGCAGGTTTCGGGGGTCACCAGCACCGAGCTGGGATCGGCCATCTGAACGGACCCGAGGGACAGAAGTCCTGGAGCGTCAGGGGTGAGCAGGAACTCAGCACATATGGACACTCTGCTGCCCAGACAGCTGGGTCCCTCCCCTGCCCGTCAACTCTGAGGCCTGTGTTCGGCAGAAGAATCCATCCCGTACAAAGATGACCATGCCCTAATCCCCAGAACCTGTGCCTCTGTCACCTCACAGGGAAAAAGGGACTTTGCAGATGGACTCAGTTGGGGACTTGAGATGTGGAGGTGATGCTGGATTGCAGGGTGGGCCCAAAATGCAATCACAGGGGTCCTTAAAAGTAGAAGGGGGTGAAGATGAGAGTCGGAGGGAGCCGTGACCACAGGGGAAAGGTGGAGACGTGAGGCTGCTGGTGGTGGAGGAGAAGGAGGGGTCACGAGCCAACGAAGATGGGGCTACAGAGCCTGGAAACTTCAGGAAACAGATTCTCTCCTGGGGCCTCCGGAAGGAACCAGCCATGTGCACCCCTTAACTTGAGCCAGGGGACCCACACGGGACCTGTGTCCTACAGAGCTGAAGGACCACAATGTTGAAGGCACTTTGTGGCCATGGGTTACAGCAGCCACAGGAAACTCCTGCAGCCCCTCCACACTCCCGTCCTCCTCACCCCGCCCCATGGCCAATGCTGGCACAGGCCTCCAGATTCTCCCCTGGCTCCTGGCTGACCACCCACACCAGCCCAGGCCAGGCGTTGCCACCATCTGAATCCCCTTAACGGTGCCCTTGACCTTGCAAGCCATTCCAGGCTGGCCCCTGCCTGTCCCACCAGACACATTTCTCAGCACTCACAAACTCACACCTCTATGCCTTCTCACCCCTCCTGACCCTCACTGTGGTGCAGTGTCTAGGGTGTGAGACCCCCAGGGTCCCAACAGAGGGACGAGTGAGGCCCTGTGCTGCCTTCAGTGGGGGCTGCCCCAGTCACCCCATCGCCTCTGTCCTGTCCCGTCCAAGTGACCTTTAGCAGGAGCCAGAATATGGGCCAGATGGGCCAGGGGAGATGACAGTCTTCATCTTACCACCTTTTCTCCTCCATCCCCAGTGACTGCCAAAGACAGGGGAAATCTGCCTGGGCTGACTCAGCACAGCCGGGGAAATCCCAGCGGCTCGGGGCTGGGCTCCACCTGCAGACCCACGGGGCAAGGATGCTGCCTCGTCTTCCTGAAATGAAACCCCAGCCGGGAGGTGGAGACCCCATGGGGATGAGAGGCATGCTTATAGGCTGAAAACTGAGGCAGACTTTTTCTGGTGAAATCAAGACTGATTTGGTGGATTGGTGAGACTCTGAAGCCAGCAGCAGGCGTGGCCACACAATTTCAATCAAGGACCACCGAGCTCCAGCAGCTGGCCCCTCCTCTCACACTCCACACTGAGCTTTCCCCCAAGCCAGTCACTTCCATCAGCTGAAACCATGTTGCTAAATGCCCAACTTCAACACAGCCTCTCAGCTCTGCAGTTCTCGTGCTGATCCAAACTTAACCCTGCAGGGCTGGCTTCACTCTCCTCTCCCTTCCTGCTTTCTCTGGAACCTTCTCCTAACTTCACTGAGAAGAAAAAAACCATTCATAAGAGCAGCCACAGCCCCTGAAGTGCCCTTGGAGGCCTGCCTCTGAACCCACCCCTCCTGCTGCTATGGACGCGCTGGCTGGGCCCCCAGCAAAGCCACCCTCCCGCCTAGTCACCTGCTCTCATCTCCTCATCAGAAACATCCCCACTATCCTGCACCAGCAAATCCACTCACTCTCTACTGGTAAGCAAGAAAACAAATGGAGACCAGTCTGGGCAGCACAGCAGAAACAAAAAAAATTTTGGCTGGTGGTATGCATCTGTGGTCCCAGCTACTTGGGAGGCTAAGGTGAAAGGACGGCTTGAACCCAGGAGGCCTGAGGCTGCAGCGAGCTGTGATAGTGCCAGTGCACTCCAGCCTGGGTGACAGAGCAAGACCTTGTCTGTAATAATATAGCAAACTCTGTTTCCTGTCCCCATTGATCTCTGCAGTGCCTACCCTGTGCCTCCCCTCCCCCTGAAAGTGAAACTTCCTGAAACAACTGTCTCTGACTTCTCACAACTCCCCTGGAGAAATATAACCTCCACACTACACTCTTCCCCAAACCAGCTCTGCAGGTCTTTCAGTCCCCACTGAAGACCAGACTTTCAGGGAGACGATGACCTGTCCTCAGTCCTGGGGCAGTCAAATGACTCAGGCCTTCACCAGGCTCTTCTCCACCCACCCTCACCTCCGGCAGTGTGGGAATTCGCTCAGGGTGGTGGCAAAAATATTAAGGGGAAAATATTAGAGAAAGTTCTAGAATATAGTCGCAAACCTTCTTGGAAGGCCAAGAAGTTTGCATAGTTTCAGTAGAAGTTTTTGCTGAAGGCAGTCTAAATCTCCTTTACCTTTAGTTAATAAGAAAAGCAAATAGCTGGGGTATGTGGGAAAGTTTATCTGAATAACTTGTTTACTCATGTGGTCTCAAAACTAAGCTTTGAGCCAGACGGCCCTCTCGGGGGTAGGTTGACCAGGGAGATCACCTTCTAATGATATTTGCCTTGGACTTAGAAAGTCTACAGGTGTGTTGACTTAGAACCTCTGCTATTAAATCTATACTGAATAAATGGGGAGAGGTCGAACTAGTCAGCATCATGTAAGTGGGCTCTCTCTCTGTGAGTGGCTCACAACCCCACAGACCACTTGCTCACTGTATTCTGTGTATGAGTGAATTTATTCATTTGTCACGCAGGGGCCTCTGGGATGGACCCTGGCACCGAAGGCCTTTATGAAATTCACTTCTCAGCAGGGCCCTCCCTGAGCAAGCTGCTTACAAACTCCCAGCTCTCCCTTTCCCTCCTTGAGCTCTCTCAGCAGACATTTCCTGCAATAGACACGTCATCAGCTGGGCTATCACTGTTTCCTCCCACTTGCAGAGGATAGGAATTGTTTCTGACTTGGTCACACCACAGGGAAGAATGCCTGACTGAGAACAGGTGTCCAACAGGCCCCTGAGGAGCAGACAGGGATGCAACTGACCTAGAATCAGAAGCAATCAAACAACACAATTACAGGGAAATTTTAAAAACTCAACACTATACACCTGAGATTCTCCCCAGAATGGAGAGGAAGGAAAGGACTGGCTGTGACCCGTGAGGAGGCAGCAGCAGAGGGGGGTGCGGCATGTGAAACACACAGAACAGTTTCACTACAACATCACGGGGGAGTGTCCACAGCCACAGAGAGCCTTCCGTCCAGCAGCAGGAAAGGCGAGCAGCTGAGGGATGAGAGGTGACTACCTAGGTTTGTTTATTTTCTAAATGGGATCCGGAGGCCTTCAAGCTCTCAAAACCCAATCCCACTCTGGAAATTATATCTGTTTCTTTGTTAACATTTTAAATACTAGAAAATGACGTCCAAGAGTTGTGACGGAGAACTGCGACAACACATTTTATAACAGATCAAATTCTTCCTCATCTGCAAAAGCAATGCGATCAAAAACAAAACATCGATATCCTCAACTGCACCAGAGCTCAGAATATACACCAGCCATCACACCCCTCCTGAAGATTCCGTCCCTTACGAAGGCACCAGAGGCACCAGAAAAGCAATTAACAAAATATGCACAGGGAGGATGAGAATTTTTACCCAGTATCGGGTGTTAACTTCAAATTTCTGTAATTAGAAAATTAAAATAGGATTTAAAAGTCTAAGATTTAAAAGAGAACACATCCGCAGACCGGCAAGGATGCAGAGTGATTAAGACACTCACACCATAGAGAAAGAAAGGGAGAGATAGATGGAAGGAAGGAAATGTGGACAGAGAGGTAGATGGATGGATAAATGGAGAGATGGGTAGACGGATGAGTAGGTGGACAGATGAAATGGTAAATGAACAGATGGATGAATGAGCAGATAGACCAATGGGTGGATGGACAGACATATGGGTGGATGAATGGATAGGTAGGTGGGTGGATGAATGCATGGACAGACAAGTGGGTGGAGGGATAGGTGGCGATTAATGAATAGACAGGTAGATGAATGGATGGATTAATAGATGGGTCATAGATGGGTAGATGAATGTATGGATGGATAGACAGCTGGGAGGGTAGATGGATGGATGGATGAATGGATGGACAGACAGATGGGTGGATGAATGGACAGGTAAATGGGTAGATGAGTAGGTGGGTGCCTAGATGGGTAGATGAATGGATGGATGGATGGATGGGTGGATGGATGGATGGCTGAACTGACATATGGATAGACGGATGGATGGATGGATGGATGGATGGATGGATGCATGTCTGGCTGAACTGACATGGATAGATGGATGGATGGATGGATGGATGGATGGATGGCTGAACTGACATATGGATAGATGGATGCATAGACAAATGAATGACAAATAGTTTTTGAAATTCCTCAGCTACTAAGGAGCAACTAAGAACAGCACAGATGTGCTGAGAGGGGCAGCGGCTCACCTAAGGGCAGTGGGGAAACCAAGGCTGGAAAAGACTCTCTAGCAGCCTCCACTGCTGGGTTTGATAAGCAGCTTGAATTTTATCTGGAAAACAACAGGGAGGCACTGAGTTTTGTTGAACAGGGAAGCGGATAAGAAGGGGAGTGTTTTTGGTCCACATTAAAAATGAACTCTGGTTTGAAGGTAAAAATGAGCTGCAAAGAAATGACTTAAGAGGCAGTGGAACAGCCTAGAAGAAGGAGGGGAGCCTGTCTGTTGCAGGGAGAGGTGAGATGAATTCAAGGCGCAGCAGAGAGGAAGGACCACAGGGCTGACAAGACTGGTGAGCACCAGGAGCAGCCTGCGGGAAGGCGATGCCATCTGCTCTACCGCTCGGGTCGGGTGAAATTCTAGAGGAATGTTGTCCTGGGCACCAAACCTGCCGTGAGAGGCACAGGATGACAGCATCTCACAGTGCATCACCCTCAGAGATCTGAGAGGTTCCGGGACCCACCACCGCCTGCCACTGGGCCACACTCACCTCTCATCCACGTTGGCAGATCCCAGCACAAGGAGCCCGCCACGGACACCCCGAGACCAGAGGTTCAGCTGAGCAAACAGATAGGCGAGGACCATCCGTATTCGAGCCTGAACAACACAACAGAGGAAGTAACGGGTTACCTTGCGAAGGGAGGACGAGGAGACGCACATCTGGAACCTCTTGAAAACAAGAAAATTAAAATCACTTAGGAGCTCTCTAGTGTTCTGGGAACATCGGAGCCTCCGAGTCCCACAGCATCCCGAGGCCTTTCTCAGGGGGGTCCCACCTCCGCAGGGCTCATGCAAGCACAGCGGGACATTGTCTTCAAAGATGGGAGCACCCGGAGCCCGGGAGGGCAGAGGCAGCATCGGTGGCAGAACTGAGCTGTGGGCTCCCTGGGAGAAAGTGTGGCAATGGCATTTCTGTCCCTTTCCCACTGACAGGAGGGGAAAGGCCACCCACGCACAGCAGAAAGGGGACAGGGAGAAACAGGACAGATCCCAGCAGCGAGAGCCCCACCTCCACCCTGGCCTCTCTGCTCCTCCGCCCATCGTGGAGCATCCAGTCAAGTGCAGTAACCCAGGAGGCAGATAGCATCTGGGCTGTTCCCTGAGGATTCAAGAGGCACACACTCTCACAGTCACGTGCACACTCACAGCCATGCGCACCCACCCACATGCTCACAGGCATGCATGTGCACTCAGGCAGACTCACACACACCTGTGAAACCACGTTTGTGCACACACAACTTGCACATCCGCGTACACGCTTGTGCACAAGCACTCACAAGCACACCCACTTGTGCATACTCACACGCTTGTACTCACGTGCCCTCTGATGCTCACACTCACGCTCAGACACACCCTCTTGCTCTTGCACTCACACTTCTGCACACGCTCAAGCATGCACACCCTTACACCCCTGCTCTTGCTCTTACACATCACATGCTCAGGCACTAACACACACACCCCCATCCTTGTTAAAAGGCTGCATGATTGCTGTCTTCAGCGAGGCACACAGGCTGTGGACCCCACCACCAGCTGTCCCTGGGCGCCCTGTGCCATGACTTTCATGGAGATGACGGCCCAGGCGGGAACACCTGCACATCCTGTACCAGGCATTCCAGGGTTCCCTGCACCCCCATCCCCAGGGGACGCCGGTCCAGGCCGGGGCACCTGCACATTCTGCAGCGCCAGGTTTTCCCTGCTGCTTCCTCCGTGAGCTGCAAACAGAGGGCTCTTCCCTGTCACCAGGCTGAAGATGCCCATGACGGCCTTCACGGCTGGATCGATGCTGAGACTGATGTGGTGGCTGGAAGGAGAAGGGGAGGCATGGAGGGCAGCATGTGCACGTGCGTGTGTGTGTGCCTGTGTGCGCGTGTGCACGTGTGCATGTGTGCGCGCCTGTGTGCATGTGTGCACGTGCATGTGTGCGCCTGTGTGCGCCTGTGTGTGCGTGTGCACGTGTGCACGTGTGCCTGTGTGCGTGCATGTGTGTGCGCACGTGTGTGCATGTGTGCGCCTGTGTGCATGTGTGCGCCTGTGTGCGTGTGCACGTGTGTGCACATGTGTGCATGTGTGTGGTGGGGCCCTGGTGACATAAAACTGACCATTGTAACCACTTTAATGTGTATGACTGGTGACATTTAGCAATCCACAGTGCTGTGCGGCCCTCACCACCAACCGGCTCAGAACATCTCATCACCCGAGAAGGAAACCCCATCCCACCGGCAGTCTGTCCCCACTCCCTCCTCCTCCAGCTCTGACAGCTGTGACAGTGACAGATGTGGAGAGTGATACAGGCCCTCTCTGTGCTGCTGCCTGTTCTGGACACTGCATGGAAATGGAATCAAATGCCACATGGCTTTGTGTGGCTCCATTGCTTTCACTCCGCACCATGTCTTCGAGGTTTCTCCTCACTGTGTCACGTGCCCATGCTCCACTCCTTTTTCTGGGTGAATAATATTCCACCATGTGAATAGACCACAGTTTCTTTCTCCATTCATCTGGGATGGACTTTGGGCTGACCCCACCTCTTGGCTTCTGCGAATGGTGCTGCTATGGACTTTCCTGAACAAGTATCTGTTTGGGTCCCTGCTTCTGATTCCTCTGAGTACGTCTCTAGGAGGAGGATTGCTGGGGGGCAGGGGGCAGCTTTTAGCTGAGCTCAACAAACAGGATGGGCAACTGCTCATTTTCTCCTAAGAGCTACTGTAGATGGAACATTCTAGATGGAACCCAGTCTCCCTTCTCTGGAAAGCTGCCCTCCCTCCACTGTCCACGTAGAGAACCGCCCTGTAGAAAAGGCAGTGAGGGCGGGGGAAGGGACGGGGGGCGGGTATGAGTCAGCCCACAGCCAACTCCCATATGAGCACATATGACCTGCAGCCGGCACTGGGAAAGCGAGGAGTGGAGACAGGCACAGTCCGAGAATGGGGTGGGTCAGACAGGGAGGACTGGTACACGGCTTCCCTGAAACCTGCCTCAAACCAAGAGAAAGCGCAACCCTGAGAAGCTCCCAGCTGCACGTTTAAGCAGTTGCTGATGCCTGGAGAAATCAATCAGGGTCTATCCACACAGTGGAGTATTACCCACAGAAAGGGACAGAGCGCTGACATCTTCTCCATGTCGTGAATGAAGCCAGGCACCAATGCGCTACAGGCATGGCTTCCGGCGGCTCTGAGCTGCCAGCGGCCTGCCAGGCAGAACACCAGGGACCAACTCTACCTTCCAATCTGCTGGGCCAACTCTCTGGCCCGGCTGCACGTCTCCTGGGAGGAGTTCTCACTGGCCATGTAGCACGTGGTCAGTATGTGTCCACAGAGATCTCGGGGATCCTGGGGGGTGTAGCTGCTCTGGTTCACGATGGTGCGGACATCAGCCAGCACTTCCTGATCTGAAAACCGCAGGACAGAATGCGTAGAAGTCACCTGAGTGTGTGGGGTGTCTACACACTTCCACCCCTGTCTCTGGTCACCAGGCGTCTGCACAGCTCGACCCATCTACACCCCGAGGTGACCATGCGGCTCCACCCCCGTCTACGCTCCCTGGTGCCCGTGCGGCTCCACCCCCGTCTACGCCCCCAGGTGCCCGTGTGAACCTCCCACACCTGCGTCTTTCCACCCGGCCACACCGTGCACAGCGCAGGCAGGTGCAGCTCCGGAGACTCAGCCGCATGTGCCTGAAGCCCTAGGAAGCTGCTGAGGGCCTTGCTGCCTTGGCGGCAGGACTGGGGTGTGACGCTGTGTCATTTGTGCGCGGCCACAAAGCCCCCTTCACCCTGATGTCCACGGTCCAGGTGTTTCCTCCACCCCCTCCTCCTAGATCCCCCACTCAGGCAGCCCGAGGGCTGACCCCCTGGAGCCTCCCTCGTGCCAACAGATGCCACCTACTTCCGCTCCTCACAGCCTCGCAGACCTGGCGGCACATGCAGTAGACGAGGCAGGCAGTGGCCGCGCTGTCCACCCCGCCACTCAGGGGCAGCAAAAACCCCGCCTGGAAAGAGCCAACCAGACACGGTGTGATTAGAGCCTCGGAGAAGCAGCGTGCCCGAGGATCACCCTAACTCCGCCTGCAGACCTCAAGGAGGCGTCCACGGAAATGCACATGGATGTCAGTGCTTTCCCTGAGGTTGGGACAGACGCCCAAACGTGGCAGGGTTACTGGATTTTCCAGAGGGAAAAGAGACGCTTCGGGGAGTTGGGCATGTCTGAGGCTGACTCCACTGATGAATCTCGGATACGCATGATCACAACGGTGAGTGTGACGCTGAACGTCGTCAGACCGGGTCCTGCCGCGCCTCCAGAGCTGGCGCTGACCCACCAGCCGCTGTACCCACCTTGCCTCTGGCTAGCAAAGACTAAGCTCCCCGTGGAGGCAGAGTGATGAAATGCTTTTTATTGTTTGCATTAAAAAAAAAACAAAAAAACAAAAAAACGCTGCCCTGCGCCAGAATAAAACCAGACCAACCAGTAGAACAAGCAGGATGGGCTCACTAGAAACTGGAAGTCTTACCTGTTGGCTTCGCCTTAAAAAGTCCCAGAGCCAGCAGGCAGGTCCAAGGCTGCAAGGAAATCAGAACATGGAGCCCGGAGGGCGGCTCCGGCCCACAGCACCCCTGGCAACCCGCCCGACAGCCTCAGGAGGCTGCAGTGCCAGAGTCGACGCAGGGCTCTCAGGAGGCCTGACTCTGCTTCAGGCACCTGGTGTGAAGGGATGCATGTGACTCTTAAGACAACCCAGCGACGCAGGTATTATCATATCATTTTAAACTGGGGACACTGAGCCACAGAACAGAAGGCACCTTGGGGCCCCAAGTCACAGCACGGGGAAGCAGCAGGGCTGGGGGTCACACCTCAGCAGTCTGGCTCCGGCATCCATGCCCTCAACCCAGGGAGGCACAGCCCACTCCTGCCAAGTCCCCACCCGGGCAGGTTCTGAAAACCCACTGCGTGACCTCCAGGGGTTCCCACCCCAGAGGCGTGGCCACGCAGACACCAGGTCCCTCCCAGGAGTCAGGGGCCACACACCTTATCTCCTCCTCAGGGCTGTGGTATTTCCACTCGATGGGTTCAGAGACGGGTGCCAGCAAGTCTTCGTGGCACGAGAGGGCGAAGTCCACCTTCACCCGGGGGTAGGGGCTCGCCCTGCTGGCCTGGCAATGGGAAATTCAAGACAAAATGACTCCCAGCCTCACGGAAACCCTCCAGGTCCCCAGGACGCACAGACAAGCAAGGCTCCGACAGTCACGGAAAGGCATGTCAAAACCACAGCGAGGCCGCCCTCACTGCCACGAGGATGGCGAGGAGCGAAACCACAGATGGCAACAGGAACTGGAGAGGGGCGAGAAACTGGGACTCTCATCCCTGCCTGCCGGGAACCCACCGCGGCGCCGCCTCTCGGCAAACACTCTGGCAGCTCCCCAAAAGGCTAAACAGTTACCATACGCCCCAGCCGATTCGTGATGGCAAGTGGAAACATTCCCAATGGCCATCAGTGGACTAGTGAAGAAACAGAACGTGAACATCCCGGCTACGGAACTCTCTGACGATACAAAGGGATGAACCCACCCCGTGTCTGTGGGTTCTAAACCCCCAGGTTCAACCAGACACAGATAAAAGGTACAGTATCCTTGAGCTCTGAAACCCACGCATACAGAGGGCCGACCCTTTGTATCAGTGAGTTCTGCGGGGCGGACTGTGGGGTATGGGCATCCTGCAGGGGGTCGGTGGGAGCTCCCGGATCCCATCGCCATGGATACCGAGGGGCAACTGCACCGACACACAGATGAACCTTGAAATCAGCACAGCAAGTGCGGGAAGCCAGACACCAAAGGCCATACACTGTGTGATTTCATCCCGATGAAACGTCCAGAACAGGAAAACGCATAGACACAGAGAGCAGACCTGGCTGCCAGGGCTGGAGGAGGGGCATGGCGGGGCTTAATGGCTAGAATTTCTTTCTGGGGTAATGCAAATGCTCTAAGATTGTGGCTGCATAACTCCATGAGCACACTAAAAACCACTGATCAGGTGCTTACATGGAGACGCTGGGTGATACGGCAAACACAACGTAATAAAACTGTTATGAAAAAAAGGCTGAGCACGGCGGCTCACACCCGTAACTCTGACACTTTGGGAGTCTGAGGCGACAGGACTGCTCAAGTCCAGGAGTTCAAGACCATCCTGGCCTCTCTGCCTGCCTGTCCCGCTAACCCCAGCTCAGGGCCTGGCTCCAGCAGAGGACGACCGGGAACAGATGGAAGCAGGTTCCGTCCACAGCACCAGCCCTTTCCACACTCGGGGAGTCCGGAACGTCCCCATCAGACTTCTCGGGCACTGCACCCTCACGGCCTCCACCACACCCGCACAAATGGGGCCACTTTCCACACCGGTAATGAGCATCCCACAGGGGTGTCTACTGGAGCACCCACCGCCTGGTTTCGAGACGAAATCTCCGCCCTGTAGCTCCGGACATCCTCCAGATCCAGCGTGGCCGTCAGGACTTCCTGGGAAAGGAGGTTTCGGAGAGAACCCGTGATTTCCCATCTGCTCCACTCCCCGTGTCATTTGGCCGCTGCCACAGGTGTTGCTGCACCTTCTAAAGCAGGGACCGAGACCCCTGGATTCCTAGGGACGCAGGGACACGACAGGCGACGTGGAGGCTGACCCACAGCCCTGCCCCTTCACTGTTGCCACCAGAACCTGCACTGCATTCAGACACTTGCCAGTGACCCACTCAGCACCACACAAGACGCCACCCTGTCAATGAGCCCCTGCTGGGGACTTCTGGGAACGCTTCTCTCATCAAAAAGATACATGGGGGGCAAGGGCCCTTTGCTGCCTGTGCACGTGGCAGTGTGAAGATGGGGTGGGTGGAGCTGCTGCCAACACCCTGTGCCCACGAGGAGAGGCAACAGAGGAGGGTGAAGCTGGGGAAGGGCAGAGGCAGAGCCGCAGCCTCGGCATCCACACCAGGGTCCCGGCCCGGACGTGCCGCCTGTGTCACAGGAGGTGACGCCGCCCTGCCTTTAACCCGGCTATGGTGGAGCTTCTGCCAATTGCAGTATCTGCAGAAACGACGTTTTAACTCATAGGGGTTATTCCTTCATGGAGAAATGTCTTTATCCAATTGTGTTTCGGACAGTTGCCTTGCTCAATGCAAGTGTGGGACAGAAGGAACAGTGCGGGCACCACCGTGGTGGTTCACAGGACGGCCGTGCCCGCCTGGCGCGCCCCTCGCTCCTGCTGCCGTCACCGTGGGCCAGACCTGGCTGGAAATGCCGTGAAGACCAGGAGACCGGTTCACATGTCCTGTGGTTCTCTGGCTGCTTTCCAAAGTGGTGGCACCGTGGCCACCAAACGTCCACGCGTTAAGCCATGGTAAGTGTGACGCCTTAAAGCAATGGAGACGGCGTGGCGAGGATCATTCCGTGAGAAGGTGGCTCCATCTCACTCTCCCCAGGGCTAGGTTAACGGACTTCACCATCGCAGTCGGACTCCAGGTGCACGACAAGCCAGAAAACCCAGGGGATCGGGAAGACCCTGAGAAACAGGGCCCGGAGTGGGATCGGCAGATCAGTTGCTTGAGCGGGAGGCAGAAGGAACGACTCTAAAGTGATTCCACACGTCACGAGGCTTCTGCGACCATTTCAGGTGCAACACGGAGGACCTGGCAGAGGGCAGTGGCTGGAGCCTGAGGGTGGCAGTATCACCCTCAACGCGGCAGGCCCGTGGCTGCAGCCTAGGATGGAGCACGCGGCACCATCAGAAATTCTAGTGACGTGTAAAGCAGTGGCTCCCGGATTCTAGTGTGTGGAACAATCTCCTGGTGCCCACTAAAAACGCAGACCCCAAGGACTCTGATTAGCGGTTGACATGGGGCCGGGAACCCTCAGGGGTCCTGGGGCAGGTGATTCCCAATACACCTGCCAATCAACACGGCCAACGTGCCTGTGGCTTTGACGTGGGCAACAGGGAGAGGACCACACTTCCCATCAGCAGGAACTTAATCTTTCTCCTCAAAGCCCTTCCAGGTCGGTCACAGTTAACCACAAAGAGCAAAGAGGCCTTTTGGGGACACTGTCACGTGGAAAGCTGGGCCTGGGGCCGAGACGGCCACACCCTTGCCTGCGCCCTATGCAAGGGACCCCTGAAAAGACCTTGGGATTCTGTTTCACGCTGAAGTTCACCGAGTCCACTTGAAACTGCTTTGGTTCCGTAACCACCTCCATGCTGACCGCACCCAGGCTGCGCAGAAAGCACCAGAGAGAATCACGCGATGGGAATGCAGGGACAGCAAAGCAATGAAACTGCTCCGAGAGCCTGGCCGAGGCGGTGACTCGCGCTGCCCTCACCCTCATCCATCCAGGGCCATGGGCCATGTGTCGGGGTTCGGCTGTCCCCAGACCCAAGGACGGGAGGTCAACTTCTCCACAGGGACCCTCACTAAGCACCTGGCTGACAGGGGAGGGCAGGGGCTCTGCCTCTGCACCAGGACACAGGCGCGCCCTGCTCCTGCAAAGCCAGCAGCGGAACCGTCTCCTGTGCTACGTACCGCCTGCCTCAGTGACTCTGCCGCTTTCATGCCCATCCCCAACAAGAGCAGAGCAGAAGGCCATTGGGGCCAAAGGCCAGGCAGGCGGCGCTGCATGGGAGGGAGCGCTGGGGACCTGCGTGTGTATGTGTGGTTTCGGATAGCAACGGCACTTCCGAACTCTAACTCACAGCTCCCCCGGGGCTGTCCCCACACAGCTGGCCACTGTGTGCTCAGAGAGCCCCACAGAACAAAGCCTCCCCGACCAGAGTGTCCTGGGGTCTCCACTCCTGCTTCCCAGGATGCAGGGGCAGCGTGGCCTAAGGCCTAGGATGAGTATATGTGCCCTCGACAGGGCCTCCAACGGACTCACCACGAGCCCCCTGCCAGCTCTGCTCCCACAGATAAGGCCCCCTAACCAAACACGGCATCCCTAGCCCTGTCTCAGGGGCCATGGAGCCCGCTCATGTCAAAGGAGAGGCTTTGGTTCCCTGCCAGCCCTCAGAATTCAAACCAACCAACTACACCCTCCCACAGGGACCAGGCGGCACCCACCCTCTTCTTACCACAAAGCCTGCCTCCCACAGCGGGACCGTCCGCTCGGTTCCTGAGCCCCCTCCCTCGTGGCCCTGTGTGGCACGGCGCCCTCCTTCCGGACTGTGGGTACGCAGGACTGGAGAGCTGCCCTCACCCTCATCCATCCAGGGCCATGGGCCATGTGTCGGGGTTCGGCTGTCCCCAGACCCAAGGACGGGAGGTCAACTTCTCCACAGGGACCCTCACTAAGCACCTGGCTGACAGGGGAGGGCAGGGGCTCGGCCTCTGCACAGGGAACCCTCCCCCAGCCACGCCCACGCCCGCTCATTACCACGTCGTCCAGAGAAAACTGGGATCCCTGAGCAAAGATGCTCCCGTTCATGGCGATCATGGCGCAGCCGTCGTAGTAGAGACGGTCCCCATCACAGCCCTTCTGGTTGGCCAGCAAGTAAATCCCACCGTTCTGAAAGAGGCGGAGCCCACGGCGGAGGCGTCAGCTGTGGCCCACCAGCCTTGCCTGCCACCTGCCCACGTACAGGAACGTCCCCCGAGTCCCGCTAGGTCATCGTGAGTGGCCCCACTGCTACGGAGAAAAGGCACGCATGCGGGGAGGCACAGGGCCACGAAGCTTCAGCGAGCCTGGCCTGGCCGTGTACCAGCCTTCACACAAAACGCTTGTTTCATTTGGTTTTGCTCCGTAACAACCCCACAAGGCGGGCTCCGTCACCTCCCTCAGGCACGATGAGGTTCAGACAAGCCAAAGAGAGTTCCGTGGACAAGGCCCAGATTCAAAGGCGGCTTAGCTAAACCCACGCCTGCATCGTGAATGACTAACCAGCACCGCCCCTCACACGCCTCACTGGCCAAGAGCAGGATCAGCAAATGCACGGGTGTTCCCCATGCCCTGCCACGATGCCAACGAGCAAGTAAAGAAAGGGGGACCGGGTCTGTTTCATGGGGTGGCTGTGCGGGTGAGATGGGCTGTGCTGGGGGAGCCCCAGAGGGCGGCAGGGCACGCTTGCTGGGTACAGACCATAATTACAAGGCCCGGATGCCCGTCGTGCGTGGGCGCAGCCCTGAGTTGGGCACTGAGGACGCAGGAGTGCTTGAGACACAGCGCCCACCCCACGGTGCCCGCTCCCCAGCCCGAACCGACCCCTACCTTGGTGGTGGCCATAGTCACGAGATCCACCCTGGTGTTGGCTTTGCGCAGCACATGGTGGCTGCTGGAGGCATTGGTGACGATCTCCACACCATCCAGGCCCATGTCGATGTGCGGGCTGCGGGCAGAGGCAGGTGCAGAGAAAAGACCACCAGACTCCTCCAACCCGGCCTCCCGGGTGGCCCCTCAAACTTTCCCTCGGCAGCTTCCAGCCCACGGCCACGGCCCCAGGACGTCTGCAGTCCCAGCTCCTCCCAGCTGGCCCGCGCGTGGTGGGGACTGGGCGGTACAGCGGCGTGGGGCTGACCTGTGGGGCGTCCAGAGCTCCTCACAGATCTCGCTTCCAATGCAGGTGTCCCACGTCGCCAGCACCGCGTCTCCGAAGGGCACGGTTTCCTGCATTTGGAAGGGAAGAGTGCATGAGACGTGCTGGCCACACCCTATCTGGGCCACGCACTACCCCAGGACCACGGCCGTCTCGCAGCCACATGGCTCTGGGCTCTCACACATTCAGAAGAGGTGGGTGCCCTGCGGCTGCACATGGGAACACGAGTGGTGCCAGGCAGAGGCATCTTTAGGAGCCTATGTGCAGAAGGGGACGCCTGTCCTCTGAGCAACCAAGGAGACACGGACGGGGCTGCCAGTCCGGGCCAGCAGCTTCTGAAGCGACCCTGTCCTGCGATCACATCGAAACAGCTGCTGCCCTGGGCGGTGACGCAGCCCGGCCCCCCACTCCCAGCCACAGGGCAGCAGCTGAGCAGGGGACGCCAGGGCGCCTTCCCTTAGATTCAAAACTGAGAGCACGGCAGTTTGTTGTGGGTCTAGATGAGGCTTAAATGTGGGAACACAGTCCCTGGGGATGGAGCAGGCCGTCCTCTGTCACAAGGAGGAAAAAAAAAAGAGGCAGCGGCCAGTGTGAGCGGGGACAGGGAGGGAGGCTCAGGAGGAAAAGCAGCCCCGAGGTGAAGAGAAGCCGCCCCGGCCACTGCCCGGCCCTGCCGCTGCCCTCACTGCAGGAAGCTGCCCCCTTGGTCTGTTTCAGACCTGGGCGCACCACGGTGCCTCTGTCTCCTGGATCCCAAAGAGTCCCACCCCACCCCGTCCACTGTTGGCTGAGAACAGCCACGACGGACTGAAAAGCGGGCTCCGCACCCAGGGACTTGCCTGCCTCGTCAGGTCCCGTATCATCCGAGGCAGAAAGTACTCCTCTGTGTGCCTGGAGAGGAAAACACCACAGATCTGAGGAGGAGCATCTCAGGACAAAGAGGAATGGCAGCCACATCCAAACAAAAATCAAATGAAACCCTCCAAATGCACGGATTGGCACAGGCCCTGCCAGGTGTTCCCCCAGTGCAGTAAACGATCACGTGAAGATAAAAAGAGTATGAGGGTGACTTGATGAGACGCCATGACACCATGGTGGGCTGGGCTCTCCAAGCATCGGGGTGTCTCGGTTTCCCGACACGCTGATGTTCAGCTTTACCGAGAGACGTGTCACAGGGGATAAGCTGAGAGCTAGAATTTTGCTCCAGAGATGATCTAGAACGTTGTTCCAGAAATGCTGGCCAACAAAAGTTAAGAAAATAAACCGAGAGGTGTAAATACGGAAGGAAAAGTAAAATTTGTTGCATATTACGTAAGTTCAACTTCACAGAAAAACTACAAAAATCAACAGACTAACCAACAGACACGAGAGGAGAATTTAGTGAGGTGGTCAATGACAAAAGTGACATAAAAATCAAGTTTTCCTACACAAAAATACTAACCGCTTAAAAATGCGGTATGAAAGAGTCCATTTACAGTAACCACAATAAAAAATAGGTATAACTAATAAACAGAGAGCAAGATTTCTCCACGGGGCAATTTTGCCCCCCAGGGGACATCTAATGTCTGGGGACATTTTGGTTGTCACAACTGGGAGCATCTGTCGGGGGACCAGTGATGCCAGTAAATGCCTGAGGATGTACGTGGTGGACGCCCCATTGTGACGAAGAACGACCCAAATGTCAACCAGGTGAAGGCGTGACATCTGACATTCAGCATCACACGAGACGAACGTGACGCTTCACCCGACGGGACTCGTATCCCTGATGGAGAACTGCGAGTTCCATCTGATCTGCGCCGAGCCCGGCCATAGTGTCAACAGCAGCAACAATCAGACAGCTAAGGGGCTGGCACCAGGGGGCGGAGACCCTGCCCCGCGTTCCTGAGCATCTCCTACCTGGTGAGGCCTGATCAGGTAAGGAACAAGGAGGAAGGGGCTCCAGATGTGGGGCAACCGCGAACACGTGTTCTGAGAGGATACGCTGAGCGGACGATGGCCTCCCTGTCCGCGGCCCCTGTAGGTCTGCCTCAGCCCCAGGGTAGCCCCCTGCAGCTCAACTCTATACAACTTCCCTCCAGCCCTGCCTCTGCTGACAGCCCCTTCTCTGCTGTGCTGCCTGCTGCAATCCTGAAACGTGTTTTCGTATGTTCTCTAATGAATCTGCCTCTCTTTACGTGCAACTGTCTTGGTAAACTCCTTTACCACCTGTACCATCCGCCCCAGCTAGTCCCTACCAGTGAGAACAGGGCCTGGGGTAGGAAACCTAAGGACTTCCTAGAAGTGAATCGAACAACAAACCCCAGCTTTCTAAGGCCAAGTAAGTAACTTTGTAGCCAATGCTGACAGGGAAACAGCCCCTTTATTTGCGTAGTGTGTACACCAAGTGATACCTCTGTAACTTCCCTTCGGCGTCTTCATCTACATAGGACGCACACCCAGTAACCAACGGGAAGCCTCCAGAGGATATTTAAACCCCAGAACATGGCCGGGCGCGGTGGCTCACGCCTGTAATCCCAGCACTTTGGGAGGCCGAGGCGGGTGGATCCCGAGGTCAAAAGATCGAGACCATCCTGGCCAACATGGTGAAACCCCGTCTCTACTAAAAATACAAAAAATTAGCTGGGCGTGGTGGTGCGTGCCTGTAATCCCAGCTACTCAGGAGGCTGAGGCAGGAGAATTGCCTGAACCCAGGAGGCGGAGGTTGCGGTGAGCCGAGATCGCGCCATTGCACTCCAGCCTGGGTAACAAGAGCGAAACTCCGTCTCAAAAAAAAAAAAAAAAAAAAAAAAAAAAAAAAAAAAAAAAAAAAACAGAACATTCTAGAACCAGGCCCTTGAGCCGCTTGTTCGGCTCACTCTCACCCTGTGGACTGGGCTTTCATTTTCTTTCCTTTTTCTTTCTTTTTTCACAAGGTAGAGTCTCACTCTGCTGCCCAGGCTGGACTGCAGTGTTGTAATCTTGGCTCACTGCAACCTCCGCCTCCCGTGTTCAAGCAATTCTCCTGCCTCAGCCTCCCGAGTACCTGGGATTACAGGTACCTGCCACCATGCCTGGCTAATTTTTTTTTTGTATTTTTGTTGTTTTAGTAGAGATGGGGTTTCATCGTCTTGGCCTGGCTGCTCTCAAACTCCTCACCTCGTGGTCCACCCACCTCAGCCTCCCAAAGTGCTGGGATTACAGGCGTGAGCCACCGCGCCTGGCTGGGCTTTCATTGTCCACAAATCTCTGCTTTGATTGCTTCATTCCTGTTTTGCTTTGTTTGTGCTTTCTGTCCAATTCTTTGTTCAAAATGCCAAGCACCTGGCCACCCTCCACCAGTAACACTCGCAGATCAGGACCTGAGGCTACGCGCAGCGAAGGTGCTTAACACACATCCCAGGGCGGTCGCCCCGACTCACCGACTCCTCGACCACGGGGTGAACCAGCGCAGCTCGTGGTAGTTGGCCTCGTTGGCCAAGGCCATCTTGGGTCTGATGAGCAGGATCTTCCTGCAGGCAGGGGAACAGGGCCATGCACACGGGGCTCCTGAGACACATGTGCCGCTGCCGGTGGTCACAGCCACTGAGGGACAAGGTGATGCGTGCAGAATGGGGCTCGAGAATGGGGCCCTAAGCCAAACTCTCTCCTTCACTGCGCTTCAGCTTTCTGTCCCCGACTCGGGTCCCTGTGGCTGCATCCATCCCTGACCACCGGCCATGAAGCTACGCTCCAGCAGGTGTGTACCTCAACAGCAGCTGAGGACCAGCGCCGGAGCTCGCCTGGAACAGCTTCTAGGCCACAGGGACCAGGGCATCTCTCTCGTTCGGATACCTGAGGATGCCTGTGTCGGTGGTGGCTGAGACCCAGAGAAGCAAAGGCGCCCGGATTCCTGCCAGGTGCCCCGCCCTCACAGAAGCAGCCTCCCAGCAACGGGGCCCCGGGGCACCAGCACGGGTCCTGGCAGCCCTTGGCTGAGGGCCAGGGAGACACACCGGTCACCCCCCAGGGGAGGGGGCAGGAGCCTACCTGTTGAGGAATATGACCCTGCAGTTGTAGCGGACGTTCCGGTGCATCACAGGCCTGCAGGAGAGAGGGGAGGCACGCGCGTATCTGCTGAGCTCTGAGAACACAGAGCGGGTGGAGGCGGCGGCCGCGGCCCCGGAACCCTGCACTGTACTTCCATACGAAGCTTCCTCCGACCCTTCAGAGAACTGCAGAGCTCTTCTGTGGAGCCCTCAAATCAACGCTAAGATGAGCAGAGATGGTTCTGCCACGCAGGCAGCACAGACTCTGAGACTGGAGGGCTGCTTCCCAACGGAGGGCAAAGTCACTCCGCCGCAGGGGTCTTCCCTCTCCTCCTGGAATATTCCAGCCTCTGCTGCCTCCTCCCCTCCCTCACCCTCCTCACTGACTCACCTTCACCTGTGGCACCCACTTTCCAGCCCCTCTCCGCCCTGAGCTCATTTTCACCACGTCCCGGGACAGGGACCCATCCATCCACCGCCCAGGCGGGTCCTTTCTCAGAACTGGGCCTGGACTTCACGCTCCCTTCACCTCTGCCTCTGGAGTGTGTCAATCTCTAACTTGGCCCATGCAGAGGGCTGCATGGGGACAGCTATGCAGGGCACATCACAGACACCAGCACAGAGTGCAGAGGCCTCCATGGGGACAGCTATGCAGAACACAGCGCAGACACCAGCACAGAGCGTGCAGAGGCCTCCATGGGGACAGCTATGCAGGGCACAACACAGACACCAGCACAGAGCGTGCAGAGGCCTCCATGGGGACAGCTATGCAGGGCACAGCACAGACACCGGCATGGAACGTGCAGAGGCCTCCATGGGGACAGCTATGCAGGGCACATCACAGACACCAGCACAGAGTGCAGAGGCCTCCATGGGGACAGCTATGCAGAACACAGCGCAGACACCAGCACAGAGCGTGCAGAGGCCTCCATGGGGACAGCTATGCAGGGCACAGCACAGACACCAGCACAGAGCGTGCAGAGGCCTCCATGGGGACAGCTATGCAGGGCACAGCACAGACACCGGCATGGAACGTGCAGAGGCCTCCATGGGGACAGCTATGCAGGGCACAGCACAGACACCAGCACAGAGTGCAGAGGCCTCCACAGGGGACAGCTACACAAGGCACAGCACAGACACCAGCATGGAGCGTGCAGAGTCCTTCCTGTGGAGATACACATATGCAACCTAGGCCATGGGAACCACGTGGTGACATGTGGACATGGAACTAGCCCAAGACTCCCCGTGAAGTAAGGCTCTTTGCACGCGATGGGGTGACCGCTGCATTCTCCTTTGTGCAGAGAATGCTGGTGTGTGCACAGCACCTTCTGGAATTGCTGACACATCCTGCTTCCAAGAGCTACCTCCTTGCAGGGGAAACGAGGTGGCTCATAGGGCCGGGACAGGAACAAAACCCCCTTTTCAAGCATAAGGCCTTTGGGATCCCTGGACCCATGCAGGTTCCACACCCTGGACGGAGGCGGTTGGGTGGCTCACGCCCTTGAGCCTGCCCTTGTCCCGGGCTTGCCCTTCCACGCTCACGCTGGCACTTACATCCCCACGTCGCAGATGATGTTCTGAGTGACGGGAGACTCCAGGAGGGCAGCGAGGACTTGAAATGAATGCAAGAGTGTGTCCGACTCATAGTAATGATCCCAGCATCCGTAGCCGCTGCAGAGCCGGAGAGAAAGTGAGCTCCAGCAACAACACAGGTGAGCGCGGAGGGGCAGGGCTGTGGGCCACGCAGTCTGAACGTGTGTGGGGGGCAGGGCTCAGACGTGTTCTCAAAGCGTTCCAGGTGATTCCAAAGAGCGCCCGCATAAGCAGCACCGCCGCGGCGCGACGCACTTTAGTGACGGTGAAGAACACGGCCCCGCTCCCCTCGCTGAGTTCTAAGTTACCACAAAAACTTGCTCTCGGATCAGGAAGTGCCTGCACTTGGGTTTCCTTTTAACCTTTAATGTGGCCCAAATGACACTGATCTACAAGAGAAGAATCCCAAAGGAACAAAGCTGGACCCACAGAAATACATTATTTGGCAAAGAAGAAGGCTAACAGCCACTCGGAAAAGCCACCCACAAAGCTGCCGCTGAGTTTTTTGCTCTAGGTGCTTGCAGTGGGCTGAAAGATGGACCCCAGAAAGGTCTGTCCATCTCCCAACCTCAGAAACCTGCGAATGTGACTTCATTTTAGAAAAAGAATCCGCTGATATAACTGAATTAAGGATCCCGGGATGAGATCACCCTGGCTTTTGCAGGTGAGCCTAAATCCAGTGACAAGTGTCCTTGTAAGAGAAAGGAGAGGGGAGACAGGGCGAACAGGAGGAGGCAACGTGAGGACAAGAGGCAGAGCGGGGAGCGATGCCCCCACAAACCAAGGGGTGCCTGAAGCCACCAGGAGCTGGGAAAGGCAGGAGGGACCCTGCCCCTGAGCCTTCGGAGGGAGCCGGGCCTTGCTTCCGTCCTGACCGTGGACTTCTGGCTCCCTGAACTGAGAGAGAATAAATTTCTGTTGCTTTAAGCCACTAGTCTGTTTCGGCAGTCACAGGAATTAATTCAATAATCCGTGGTGTCAAAGTGTGAAGACTGGGTTGCTTAGTATTGGGGTTCCAATAATAAACCATGGAGTATTTGTAGAACACTTATAACTCTTCAGGAAGACCTCCTTTCTGCTACACTTCAGCCTGGAAGGCACACTTCAAATGCTCAGCAAACCTCGCGCACACCCGCGTAAACCCCAAAACCGGCAACTATAATTTTTAGTATCTGGGAAAGCATTGCTCTCTGCCCTTGGCTCTGCTAAGAGGAAATGCGCAGTTGTCAGATGGAAGAGGTATCCCATCCAGTAAGGTATTTCCTTACTGGAAATGCCCCAGTAAGGAGCAGAGTCCTGGCTGGGCACAGTGGCTCACGCTCGTAATCCCAACACTTCGGGAAGCTGAGGCAGGCGGATCACAAGGTCAGGAGATCCAGACCATCCTGACCAACATGGTGAAACCTCGCCTCTACTAAAAATACAAAAATTAGCTGGGCATGGTGGTGTGCGCCTGTAGTCCCAGCTACTCGGGAGGCTGCGGCAGGAGAATCGCTTGAAGCCAGGAGGCGGAAGTTGGAGTGAGCCACTGCACTCCAGCCTGGCGACAGAGCAAGAAAGATTCCATCTCAAAGAAAAAAAAAAAAAAAAACAGAACGGAGTCCTGAGATGTCCTTTCTCCTCCAACAGATCCCTGTTTCCTGGCTTTTCACACCCTGTTGGCGTCCTGGCCCACATGTGAAACCAAATAACATTGCAATGCCAGATGTCCCGCTGCATGGCGTCCGGCGACCAGAGGCCTCTCATCCCTTCGATGGGCCAGCAGCTGGGGGAGTGGGTTATCACAGGGGCTGGTCAGCCAGTGTCCAGGGCCCATTTGGGTGGCAGCCTTCCCTCTCCAAAGCCTCCAGCAATTGGCTCAAAGGAAACGCCGACCTTTCTAGCTGAGGGTCTCTGGTCCATGAGTCAGGCTGCTCTAAAGCCAGTGGGCCTCTCTGTGTATCAGGTGCTGGACTTCTGACCAGTAAGAGCAAGGGCCAGGCACAGTGGCTCATGTCTGTAATCCCAGCACTTTGGGAGGCTGAGGCGGGTAGATCACAAGGTCAGGAATTCAAGACCAGCCTGGCCAGGATGGTGAAACCCCGTCTCTACTAAAAATACAAAGATTAGCCAGGCGTGGTGGCTGCTTCCTGGAATCCCAGCTACTCGAGAGGCTGAGGCAGAGAATTGCTTGTACCTGGGTGGCAGAGACTGCAGTGAGCTGAGATCTGATACTCCAGCTGAGATCTGATACTCCAGCCAGGGCAACAGAGCGAGACCCCGTCTCACAACAACAAAAAGAACAAGAGACGGTGTGCTCAGTAAAGCAATGTCCTTCCTCTCCTGCCTCAGTTTCCTCTTTGTAAATTGTTGGAATATTTAACGGGAGCCTGCTCAGCAGGTTGTGAGCTGTGTGGAGCCCTGCTCAGATGGGCCCCTGTCGCTGCTGGATGCAACTATTTCATCCCAGGGGTCTGTCTATAGTTAAACATTCTCCCATTTTGAAAATGAAACAGGTCTATATTTGGAGGAAGGAGAGAGGTGGGTGTAACTTTTATAGAAGGGAGAGGCTAGGACCAAGAAAGAAAAGAAGACTTACACTCTAAGCATCTGGGCAAGGTCAGGCCGGGGTCCTGGGCTGACAGTCCTGCAGCTCCTCCAGGACTAGCAGCAGACGGGACATGAGGGTCGAGCCCCAGGGCCAGCCCAGGAGAGGTTGGGCCCATGAGACAATCAGGCCTTGAATCCGGCCCAGGAGAGGATCAGGCCACAGGCCAGGAGGGACCGAAGCTTTGTGACCTCGGACGACCCAGCATCCTAGATCCCCTGGCACTTAGGTGAAGAACTTCTTAAAGAATCAATCAAATGAAGACAAATTAAAGAACAAAGTCAACGTTCTTGGATATTGTGGGAGGAACAGCCCTGTTTGAAGGTGAGATTCTAAGGAGCGAAATCAGCTTAATGAAGGAAAGTAACTTGGAAGGACTGAGAGAAAGAGGCCTCCAGAGTCACAGAAAACCTCCTAAGAGAAAACAGTTCCCGCTTACTCTAAGTCCAGAAGCAAGAACACCCACTAAGGCAGGGGACAAAGGCTGAAGAGGGACTTCCCGATTCCACAGTGGGTCAGGGGCCTCAAAGACCAGCAGGAAGCTAGCAGAGCACAGAGGGCAGCTGACATCCAGAATGAGAAAGGACTAGAGCTTACGAGAGACCTACCACGTGGCTACCCACTGATTTTGTGAAGCAGGGACAGGGAGAGAAGCAATCCATTTTCCTGATTTTTACGAAAAGGCATATAAGAAATGACCGCCTTGGCTGGGTGTGGTGGCTCAAGCCTGTAATCCCAGCACTTTGGGAGGCCGAGGCGGGTGGATCACGAGGTCAAGCGATCAAGACCGTCCTGGCCAACATGGTGAAACCCCATGTCCACTAAAAATACAAAAAAATCAGCTGGGCATGGTGGCGCGTGCCTGTAATCCGAGCTACTCAGGAGGCTGAGGCAGGAGAATTGCCTGAACCCAGGAGGCGGAGGTTGCGGTGAGCCGAGATCGCGCCATTGCACTCCAGCCTGGGTAACAAGAGCGAAACTCCATCTCAAAAAAAAAAAAAAAAGAAATGACCGCCTATGCTTGCTGCTGGAAAGATGCTGAGATCGTGGGAGGAAAACCTGTATATGGCTAAATACAAAAATGAAAACCTGGGACAGTGTCTTGGGCCTTCAGGCTGCTGTAACCAACCGCTTTGGACTGGGTAATTCACTAACAACGGAAATGCACTGCTCACCGTTCCGGAGTCTGGGAAGCCCACCATCAAGCTGCTGGCAGATCTGGTATCTGGTGAGGGCTGGTTATCTCCTCTGTCCTCACATGGCCGAAGGGACCAACAAGCTCCTTTCAGCCTTTCTTGTAAGGACACTAATCCCATTCATAAAGGCACCACCCTCATGAGCCAATCACCTGCCAAAGACCTCATCTCTTAATACAATTACCTGGTGGTTGGGTCTCAGCATACAAATTTTAGGGGGATGCAAACATTCAGAACACGGCAAAAGGGCAGCCGTGGGAACACGGAAGCTGCCCATCTTTGAAATCGGCCTTACTCTGGTAAAAGTCTGTTCCTTTAATTACTCAGGATGGCAATCTAGACTTATTCAGCCTCCCTGGGCCTGCTCTTGCTCAGGTGTTCAACGGCACTGACCAGGCCCGAGAGTGGGCGTGGCATGTCCTAGCCTTCTCAGCTGGGGAAGAGTGATGCAGGCCTCGCTCCCTGACCACCCCGGGGTGTCTGTGTCTGTTCTCACCATATTTCCAGCTCTGGTCCAAGTCTGTATCTTGCTCCTCTGTTTTTGGCAATTTTGATACCTGAAAATACAGAGAGAAAAAGAAAATGGGGCAATTTCAGCACCTATATGCTCAAAGACAGATAAAACGACCTGCTGCCGTAGGTATGATTTAAAAAAAAAAAAAAAAACAAGTAACAAACAAAACTCCTCCGTGCCTTCCCGGAGCGGGAAGAAGTCAGGCTTCCTGCTGACAGCCTGGCAGCAGAGGGCAGCACACACCTGTATACACCTGCTTACTCCTACACCTGCTCATACTTTCATGTATCTGCCTATACCTGCAGGAAATGAAAAACAGGGGGAGCTTGCAGGGTTGACCCTTAGCACCACGGAGGAGGTGGAGGAAGAGGAATAAGTTACACCCCGGTAGTTTATTATCAAGGAGATGCCCAATAGCATCCGGAGGAAAAAGAACAATCCAGCAGTGATGCCACTGTCAGGAAGCATTAGCTTACTGCCCTCGGCCAGCAGCTTCCAACAAGCATCTAAGGAGGAGAGGCTGGCAGAGTGGAAACTTAGCTCTGGCCACCCAGCCTCCTTCAGTCCAGCTGGATTTGCTCTGAGCAAATGAGGAGAAAGCAGGTTGATATATTAAAAACGCTGGCTGTGGTGGCTCAGCCTCTCAAAGAACTGCAATCTCAGCACTTTGAGGGGCTGAGGCGGGTGGATCATGTGAGATCAGGAGTTTGAGATCAACCTGGCTAACATGGTGAAACCCTGTCTCTACTAAAAGTACAAGAATTAGCCATGGGCGGTGGCTGACACCTGTAATCCCAGCTACTCAGGGGGCTGAGGCAAGAGAATCACTTGAGTCCAGGAGGTGGAGACTGAGTGAGCCAAGATGGCACCATTGTACTCCAGCCTGGGTGAGAGTGAGATTCTATCTCAAAAAAAAAAAAAAAAAAAAAAAAAAAAGGTAAAAAGGTCCATGCTGACAAGATGCCGTCTCTTGAAACATTCTGTTTTTCTTGCTCCTGGCAAAGGCTCTTGCAGTCAGCAGACCAGGGCTCTTAAGACAACCTGCAACCCGACCACACTTGCAGACTTGCCCATTTAGGTGCAGGTGTATAGTTTGACTTTTCATGCTCCAAGGTGCGTCCATATAAACGAAAATTAGATGGTGACCTTTCAACAACCACACCCTGTCTTCGAGGCCACCAAGCCTGGCTAATCTTTGTATACTTAGTAGAGACGGGGTTTCACCATGTTGGCAAGGCTGGTCTTGAACTCCCGACCTCCACTGATCCACCCCACCCCCAAAGTGCTGGGATTACAGGCGTGAGCCACGGTGCCCGGCCGTCTTTTTCTACCTCCCTTTCTGGGATGCCTTCTCCTGATGCCCAGACACCAGGAAGGCCCACGGGGACCAGAAACCATCAATGTCTGGTCTCTGCACACCGTCCCCGCCAGTGGGCAGCCATTCCGTCCAACTTATATCTCCGAGGATGGGTAGCTCAGTCCCAGGCACCGGACCCCAGTCCATCCCCAGGCCTCCCACCTAAACCGCCAGGCTTTTCTTACCTATGCTTCGTATACCGCTTGTCCCCAGGAACTATAAACACTTCCCGAGGAGGACCTGAGCAGTTATCTCACCTGATCCCACGCCCAGGGCCGCGAGTGTCCCAGGGCAAGGCTGTGAGCGCGCCCCGGCAGGCCCGGGCCCGACCATAGTGCCCGTGCGCCACCCCCGCCCGGGGCCCCCGCCGCCCCCAGACTCACTCTTCAAAATCCTTTGCAAATTGCCCTCGAAGTCCAGGGCCCACTGGTTGAGTGCGCAGGTGGCCACGGTCACCTTCCGGCCCATCCTGGCCGCAATCGCCCGGGCGGGAGGCCAGCGGGGGAATGGCAGGACCCGGGTCCCTGCGAGATAAGGCACTCGGGCACCGGACCTTCCGGGTTGCCAGTCCTCGCCCCGCCCCTCCGAGGATGGCCCCGCCCTCTCCCCGCCCATCCGGTGCAGCTCCGGCCAATGACGACGGCTCAGGCCCCGCCCACGGATCGCTCCGCCCCGTCTGCGGAGCTCACGACTGCGCCTGCGCAGCGAGTTGGCCGCCCATGGGCCCCGCCCCCTCCACTCCCGCTCCGGGCCCCGCCCCCTCTCTCGCGAGCAAAGCTGTCCCTGCCGCACCCCTTCATTTTACCCCACACCCCCTCCCCAAAACCAGCTTAGCCGTGTTTAATTTTAATACAGCGTGGAACGTTCCAAATACACCAAAAGAATGCAGTAGGGTGGGAGCGCTTCAGCGTGCCCCCAGGACGGCGGAGGATGGCCACCGAGTCCCCGTGCTGCGAATCTCGCCTCCCTGGGCGGAGGGCCCCGAACTCCCGGGAATGCCCTCCTGCCTCTTTTCCCTCCTGTACCACGTGTGGACGTAGCAGGTAGAGCGCTGCCTGCCTTCTCTGAAACTACAGGAACTGCACTTTCCTGTGCCTCTGCAGCGTGATTTTTTTTTTCCCCTGTCATAGGAGATACGGCTCATTTAATTATTTTTCTGCGGTTTGGTATTCCATGGCAGGAATAAAGCAGGCTTACCCACAGCACGTGGGCATGGAAGTTGGTAGCAGCGTTTTGCTAATAACAGACGCACGCACTGCTGCCGGTCTCCTTCCAGGCCTCGTTCCTCCAGGTCCTGCAGTGGCTTTGCTGTTGGAGCAGCAGGCTCTGTGCTGTTCCGCTTGACTAAATATTGCCGTCTCTTCTCCAGGGCGCTTCGCCGATTCACTACCAGCACTTCCTCAGTTTTTCTTTCTCACATTTCCTCTTCAGTCCACCCCGGGTACAGTCTATTTTTCCCCCATGTAAGTAACTGCCTCGCCATCCCTGCTTGAACAGCCCATCCTTCCGTCATTCATGTTAATTTAAACACACACACAATGTATACATTTGGAAAAAGAGGAGGCTTTATTTCTTGTAAAGGGTCGTAGCCTACAAGGCGGCAGCCATCCCTCAGGCTGGGAATGGTCTTCAGCCAAGGCCAGAGACAGGCACTTCCAAGGCGGAGGGGTCGGGACAGGGGCTCTATGCTGAGGGGATTGGCAAAACATACATATTCAGCAGGTTACAGGAGGAGCTATGAATATTCTCGAAGCTGGTCCTGACACATGCCCTCTCAGTGAGCAAAGCATGTAATTTATGATGCATGTTCACTTTGATGTGGAGTCTTAACACTCACAATCTTACTTCAGAGCCTTTACGGCCAAAGGTCTTTTCAGGACAGAGGCATGCAGGTGCGTCATCTCTACAAACCCGTCACAGCCAGTCCAGGGTCCGTGGTCTCTTACCAGGAGAAAGCCACTGAAGTCAGTCTCCTGCCCAATCACAGCTGTCAAGGCTGGTGAGTCAGTCAGCACCTCGTGGAGCTGCAGTTGTTTTCATATTGCTGATCCCAAGGCCAGTGCTTCTGTGGCTAACAGAGAAACAGAAAAACCTTGTGGCCCTTAGAACAGTTTCGTCTCTACGTGTGGGATGCCTGACTCACGCTTGCCTCGAAAGGCTTCAGGTCCTGTTTATTAACTCGGTATCTTATTGCCAGAGTCCATTCTATCAGTCTTACGATTTCTGTTTTAACATGAATGCTAGCCAATTGTGTCCAAACTCCAAAACGAAGGGCTACACCCACCCAGGTGTGTCTCATCTCCCCTGCTGTCATATCTGGGAACTCAGTTGTGGTTTGTTTGTTTTTTTGAGACGGAGTCTTGCTCTGTCACCCAGGCTGGAGTGCAGTGTCTCACTCTCAGCTCACAACCTCTGCCTCCCGGGTCCAAGCGTTTCTCCTGCCTCAGCCTCCTGAGTAGCTGGGATTACAGGTGCCCGCCACCTCGCCCGGCTAACTTAGGTATTTTTAGTAGAGATGGGGTTTCACCATCTTGGCCAGGCTGGTCTCGAACTCCTGACCTCATGATCCACCAGCCTCAGCCTCCCCAAGTGCTGAGATTACAGGCGTGAGCCGTGGCACCCATCCTGGGAACTTAGTTTTAAGGTTTTCTGTTGTCCCCTCAGTCAAGAGGGGCGTCCCTTTGGTCAATGCAGGGGCTTAGGATTTTATTTATAGCTTACGTACATATACTTGTTTTCACATTTTTAATCATGTTTTTCCTGTCTGTAAAGTAATGCTTGTTCATGGCAATTTGGAAACGCCACAAAAACACAAGAATGTTACACATGCTAAGTTATTTAATCCTCACAACGTCACCTTGGGGTAGTTTTCATGCCTCTGAAATCCCACACGATCTGCTCAAATTATCTCCTGCCAACAGTGGCTGACACTAGGCCTGGCAGAGAAGGTGAGGATCCTTGAACATCTGGTTGTCCCAGAAAATAAGGAAGTTATCGAAGGATGGTAGGGACATGTCATTTGAAAAAAGAAGCCAATTTGAAGGGGTTCCCATGAGCCAAATATAAGACAATACAGTAAGAATCATGCCATGTGCTATGGCTCATACCTGTAACCCCAGAGGCGAGCAGAACACCTGAGGTTGAGAGTTCGAGACCAGTCTGACCAACATGGAGAAACCCCGTCTCTACTAAAAATCCAAAATTAGCTGGGCATGGTGGCACATGCCCGTAATCCCAGTTACTCAGGAGGCCGAGGCAGGAGAATCACTTGAACCTGGGAGGTGGAGGTTGCAGTGAGCCAAGATTGTGCCATTGCACTACAGCCTGGGCAACAGGAGTGAAACTCCGCCTAAAAAAAAAAAAAGAAAAATCATAACTCAGTTAAAAAATCCATTAAGGCATACAATAAAAAATAAAAGAGGAAATTCTCTACAGAGGAATGCTTGTTAATAAATAATTTGTTAATAAATGTCAAGGGAATAAAATTAGAAAACTCACACTTTGTCCCAAGAAATAAGGGATTCAGGTAAGAGTCTTCATTAAATGTTAGTTTACTGGGTGAAAGGTAGTTCGGGAACAGAATATTTACAATCTCAAAGTATCACTGTACCAATTTCTCATTAATCATAAAAGGAAAAACAGAGACTTCTGGCAGAAACCACTGAGCCCCACTATCAAACTCACTTTCCATCATGGAGCACAGTGATGTGTTGTCTTAGAAAAGAAAACTGCAGGACTCTCAATTGATTATGTGAACCTAAGCAACAGAGCAAGGTCTCATCTCTAAATAAAAATGAAAAAATAAATGTATTATGTCAAGGGGGAAATTAAGTCCTAGAAACTGGGTCACATGGCATGGTCATAATTTTGTCTTTTAGATTATAGGTTAATGTTTTTCTTTATCATTTATGTTTTATAAATGACTAGGAAAGACCACAGACCAGACCTCCTCCCCTTTTAATTATTGATCTTTGATAGATTGTGTCTTATAATCCTGTATTTAACTCAGACCAGACTCCTACATCTTCAGTGTAATGTTAAATATACCTTCCTTCCAAAAAAGACCACCTCAATTGGTCAGATTATCGCTTTATGCTAAACCTGACATAAAAGATGTTAAAATTCTGTTAAACTTCCCTAAACTTTGTCTACATAAATGATCCCGAACATCTACGCTTTGAAACACTGATTTCCATTCTTTAAAATCTGTGCTTCCCAGGTGCCCTGTGCTCAAACTTTGCACTCCAGTGAACTCTCTTTAATCTAAATTCTGACCTGTTTGGCTCTTTTAGGTTGACAGCCTCTGACAAGATAAAACATGCTTTATGTAGCGTATTATCCTGCCAAGAAAAGAGCATAGCCTGAGTGCACAGTATGGCTCCCTGATTAGATCCCGAGGTTTAAAAAGGGGTGTAGGCGAGGCTCAGGGGCTCACACCTGTAGTCCTAGCACTGTGGGAGGCCATGGTGGGAGGATCGCTTGAGCCCGGGAGTTCGAGACCAGCTTGGGTAGCATAGTGAGACCCCTGTCTCTACAAAAAAAAAAAAAAAAAAAAAAAAAAAAAGCCAAGTGTGGTGGCATGCTCCTGTAGTCCCAGCTACTCAGGAGTGGGAGGGAAGAGAACCGCTTGGGCCCAGCAGTTCAAGGCTGCAGTGAGCTGCGATCATGCCACTGCACTCCAGCCTGTGTGGCAGAGACCCCGTCTCTAAAAGCAAAATAATAGCAAAAGGGCTGTAGAGGGCATTATTGGGACAACCGGGGGAAACCAGAGATGGGGACAGATGACAGCTGTGAACTGATGTGGGCACTGTATTTTGTTCTCGTTCTTAGGAAATGGATACTGAAGTATTTGGGTGGGGGCGGGGATCATGGTATCTGCAACTAATGAATGGTGGAAGTGAGTGGGGAGAAAAACAGAAAAACACAGAGAGAGAGAGAGAGAGAGAGAGAAATGAAACGTGGCCACCTGTTCACCCTGCTGACTCCAGGACTCTGCGTGTTCCCCTGACGTTCAAGTTGTTTGTATGCCGAGCATTTTTCAAACTAAAAAGCTGCAGGGTAAAAATAAAGCATGATGTCTCTGAGGGCCACAGAGATGTGGCGATCAGACTGTTCTGCCGGTAAAGATAGCCTGTTACCCGAGCTGTTGGGTGTGGGGTCAGCAGACACCCTCGGCTGTCCCCACCTCCAGGGCCGCCACGCCCCAGGTCATGCCCTCGCAACCAGACCCGTGTCCAAGAGCTGACGCGCGTGTCTGGGTCTCACTATGGCTCAGCTTCTCCCTTTGCCCTGCTGCTCCCTCCCCCATGGTGTCATTAGCTGCAGATACCATGATACCCCCTGTCCCGTCCTCGCACAGGTGTGCCCCCTAATAAGCAGGCCACCCAGACTCCATCTCGGGTCACTTTGGCGGTCTCCCAGCGGCGAGCCTCCCCTGACACCCGGTTACCTGGAGGATCCCCTTCGCCCCAGGACGTGAGCCCCGGGAGGAGGGATTGTGTGTGTTTTCTCCTCGCGGTGCACGGGCGCCTGGACACACGCTCCATCCACGTGCGTCGCGAGCCGCCGACGCCCTATTTGTAGAGGAGGAAACTGAGGCACGGAGGCCCAAGATCATCCAGGTGATGAGGAGCCTGGCGCGTTCTCCGCGCGGCCCACGTGGCCTCCCCGCGTTGGGCCCCGCGCGAGCCCCAGCCCTGAGCCCGTCACACCTCCGGCGGGTCCAAGCGCACCCTGGCAAGGCACCTGAGTCTGCGCCCACCCGCGGGGGCCGGGGCGGGGCGGGGCGGCGGGGCGGGGCGGCGGGGCGGGGCGGCGGGGCGGGGCCTGGGCTGTCAATCTCGAGCCCGGCCGCTGCCGAGTGGCGGGCGCGGTGGGCCCGGAGTCAGCTCAGGTGGCTCGGCCAATCGCGGGGCGTGAGGCGTCCGGGCGCGCAGCGTCCGCCTCCGATTGGCAGGCAGTCGCTGACGTCATACGGGGGCGGGAGCCCTTACAGGACTTAGGAGACTCTGGCCCCTGGCTAGGGACTCTGCAGCGCGGAGCCGTGCGCGCGGGGAAGGGGGCGCGTGCGCAGGTGAGGGGCCGAGGCGCGCAGGTGAGGGGCCGAGGCGCGCAGGTGAGGGGCCGAGGCGCGCAGGTGAGGGGCCGAGGCGCGCAGGTGAGGGCTGGAGGTGTGCGCAGGTGAGGGGCCGAGGCGTGCGCAGTGGGGGACACGTGACCAGGTGAGCAGGTGCCCACGCGCAGGGCGTGGGTGGGTGGGGTCGGGGTCAGGAAGTGTGCGCGCAGGTGGGGAGAGGATCGCGCTCACAGGTGGGGGCCGCTGGGGCTCCGGGGAGGCGGGGCGGAGGCTTCGGGGCGCGGGGCGCCCCCTACCCACGAGCTGACCTCCCACCAGGAGCCGACCGCCTCCCCACCAGCCGACCCCTGCGGGATGCTCTGGGGGCTGCCTGGCTCCCGGATCGGCTCCTGGCCTGGATGCCGCGCTCCGCTGCGGCGCCTTCCCGTGCCCCACCTGTTGTTCGCCCCCTTGTCTGTCAGTGGCGAGCCGGGCACAGCAGCTCTACCATGAGACTGCCCTCCCTGACTGGGCCTGTTGAGGCCCTGAGCGCCGAGCTTGTGCCTCTTGCTCGACTCCAACTGTGGACCTTGAGGGTCTGCCCTCTCCTGAAATGTCAGCTCCCTGGGGGTCTTCATCTTTGTGTTCCCTGCAGGACTTTGTTTAGCCGGTTGAGAAGGATCAAACTGGCATTTGGAGCACAGGTGTCTAGAAACTTTTAAGGGGCCAGTTCAAGAAGGAAAACTTCCCTTCTGCTGTGAAACTACTTGGCAGGAGGTAAGTGCCTCTCAGTGCCCTGGATCCTGGGCGCAGGCTGTGGCTTCACAGTGTTGAAACAATACGGACGGACTGGTCCACCAGCTCTCAAATGCCAACGGCTGTCTGAGCCTCTTATGAGTAAAATGCACCATACGCAGGGCGCCTCCCCTTTGCTCCCAGCCATCTACTGGAAAGGATGTTGCTTATATGCCTATTACAAAACTCAGCGCTTGTGACTGAAGAGCTGACTCGTGGGTGAGTGAACTGTAATATGCAAAAGCTACTTTTTATGTCTGGGTTTAATCCCTTTTGACAACATTCTCCCCGTGGCTTTTTCACACTTCAGCTCTGAGGTTACACATCCCCCAACCGTTTTTGCAGTTTCACGGTATGTTACATGATCAAATGTTGGTACCAGGCATTGTCTCCCGGTAGCTTATCTTTTTTTTTTTTTTTGAGACGGAGTTTCGCTCTTGTTACCCAGGCTGGAGTGCAATGGCGCGATCTCGGCTCACCGCAACCTCCGCCTCCTGGGTTCAGGCAATTCTCCTGCCTCAGCCTCCTGAGTAGCTGGGATTACAGGCACACACCACCATGCCCAGCTAATTTTTTGTATTTTTAGTAGAGACGGGGTTTCACCATGTTGACCAAGGATGGTCTCGATCTCTTGACCTCGTGATCCACCCGCCTCAGCCTCCCAAAGTGCTGGGATTACAGGCGTGAGCCACTGCACCCGGCCTTCCTGGTAGCTAATCTATGACTTGGGGCAAGAAGGATGTCAGCTCATTCTGTTTAGCCTTCCGGTGAGGCAAGCCTGCATGTGGATGGTCCGGATTAACATGAGTCAGTGTGGAAATGAGGGATGGGAGGGAGTGGGGCACTGAGCTGATAAGCTTGGGTTGGGAAGAAACTAAGCTTGAATCTTACCTTGCTGAGAGCCTGGGGCAGAGGAACTGTCTAAAGCAAGCTGGCAGGTGCCCACAGAGCCTGGGGCAGAGGAACTGTCTAAAGCAAGCTGGCAGGTGCCCACGAACAGCCGAGGGTGGGGTGATCTTGAGATCAGTCTCACTAGGGTGTCAGCTCTTCTCAGAGGCACTTTTCTTTTATCCACTTTGATTTTACAGATAAAAGAGTGACTGGAACACGCTCTGTATTAGTATTTGGAGCCGTAGAGACACTGGGTCCCTTCCCATCAAGACCTCTTGTCCTGCTTTGTACATCATGGGCACTTCATAAACTTGTGTAAATTGAATTAAGTGCTGCTACTGCAGTTCTCACACCACACAAGGAAAATGTCTTTTATCGTTGAAATGTTTAAAATGAACGTACATTTTTATTAAAGTAATTCATGCTCACATATTTTTAAATATCAGTGTTAAAAGGCTTCAAAAGAAATAGTCTCTACCACATCCAATATTCTTGCTTGTGAGCAGCAAACACTTTTTTCATTCTTTTAGCTACTTTTGTGTTGTTGTTTGTACCTACTTATTTCTAAGTAATTTGCTTTAAGCACCCCCAACTTTGCGAATTTCCTTGTGTGCATACAATAGTCAATCAATAGAGTATACATTGTTATGAGAAAGTTACAATTATTCACTGTTGAGCCATAGTAAGGTCTTATAATTATGGTTGCTTTTTAACTTCAATGCATGACTTTTTATTTTTCCTGGAGTTAACTGTTGCCTCACTTTTTTTTCATTTGGTAAGGTTACTATGCGTCGATCATTCATTTTCTTCTGGATGCTCTAACTGAGCTGTCACACATATCGGTAATTTTCCTACACACTCAGATGCAACGAAATTCATCATTTTCATTTCCTGTCTTTCTTAGCCATTCATCTTGTACCCATGTGGACTGGTTCCTGACTAGTCAGTCCTCCTACACAGCTGTCCTCTTGGGACTTGCCCTTGCCCTTTCATGGATGTCCCTTCGGCAGCTCTCTTGGACTTCCAGTTTCCTGGATCCCGTGTTGTCCTTGAGTAATAGTTCACACAGGAATAAAATTCTAGGTTGCAAAAAAGTTTTCCTCAGAATTTTGACATTTTTCATCATTGCCTTCTAGCATCCAGCTTGCTGTTGGGAAATCTAAGGCTATCATGATTCTTACTCCTGGGTTTTCTCTAAAAGCTTTGATATTTTAAAGCTTCACAGTGATGAACTTGTTCTGGAAGTGGGGATGCCACTGCTTCCCCCAAATTATAACCATGTAGAGCAGCTGTGGGTACCTAGAGACATTCTGTTTTCTCTCTCTCTTTTTGTAGGGTGATTATTGAGGGTCCCATATAGGCCACTGTTTGAGGCCCTGGTAGTAGAACAATTAAGAAGATAGACAATTCCTGCCCTTGGGAAGCTTACATTCTAGTGAGGGGAGGCAGACTACACACAAACGAATAATTCTAGGTGATGGGGAGGGTTACTAAGAAAATAAAGTACGCGGTGGAGGGCCTTGGCAGGGAACCTGGGGAGAGCTGCTTCAGATTGGCTGGGAGGGCAGAGCTCCCTAGGAGGGGACATTTTGTGTGAGCCCTGGGCAAGGACACCTGCAAACATGCTCTAAGCAGAGGAAGTCCATGAAACGGACGACTTAAACCGTGTTCAAGGATGAGTGAAGACCCCTGTGTTCCTGGAGCCGAGGGGGATGGGGGGCATGATGTGTGGGAGGGAGGGAGGGAGGGAGGGAGGAGCCAATTTGTGCTATAAGAGGGAGGGGCGTTCTGCCATGTTTGGGGAATGAGCTGAGACAAGCAAGAGCAGGCACAGGAAGGCCGGGGGGGAGGGTACTGCAGGGTCTAGGGGAGGAGAGACAGTCTAAGACAGGATAATTTCTTCCCTGCTTGGAATCCGCTGTCGGGGACAGGGTACTGGGAAGGTGTGCAAAGGAGGCCAGCCCCACCAGGCCCAGGAGCAGCGGTGGATGCAGGAGGGACAGGCGGTGTCTGTTCTTGGAGGGATGCATGGATGCAGGAGGGACAGGCGGTGTCTGTTCTTAGAGGACACGTGGATGCAGGAGGGAAAGGCGGTGTCTGTTGGAGGGATGCGTGGATGCAGGAGGGAAGGGTGGTGTCTGTTCTTTGAGGACACGTGGATGCAGGAGGGAAAGGCGGTATCTGTTTTTGGAGGGATGATGTGAGCAAGGTTCTCCTTCCTACAGGGCCCAATGGCTGCAAAGTCGCAGCCCAGCGCTCCCAAAACCAAGAGTCTAGACGGCGTCACCCATGGCAGAACCACATCTCAAGGGCAGTGGGGCCGGGCCTGGTAAGGATCTTGCCTGTTCTCCCAGCTAGAAAGTCAAGTGTAGTTTCAGAGCTTTCCAGCCTTGGGAAGTGTATGGACCCAAAGGAATGAATGACCTATTTAAAAAAATAGAAAATGATTTTTGTCAAGACTAATGAAAGGTAAGCAGTTTTCCACTTTGTAAAGTAAGGAATTAGAAAAAGAAAAACTAGAAATCATGGTCGGTCAACAACGTCGGAAAGAGACGGCCTTAAAGGACAGCGGGGGGGGCTTCCCACCCCCCTGGGGTGTTGTGTGTGTCACAGCTCCCATTTTGCCATAGGGCCATGGGGTCTTAGCGTGGGTGAGTGTCCTCCCCGGCCTGGAACTGCGGAAACCGTGGCCTTGGTGGTCCTGAAAGGCCTACACGCGCTCACATTCTGGGCTCTGGGCCTAGGTGGGGCCGCAGATGGATCCGCCAGTTAATTGACGGCAGTAAAGCAGAATGCTCAGTGGCTCCTCTGGCCGCAAGGAGGGTACACGCCAGGAGCTAACGCCGCCTTCTCTCGTGGGGCTGCCGGTGGGTGTGAGCATCAGGCCCCCCAGAGAGCCTCTCCTCGGGTCCTGAGGAGCCCCGGGGTGGATGGGCCCCCGTGTGACTGCCCGTGTCCGCCCTCGCAGGGAGGTGGACTGGTTTTCCCTGGCGAGCGTCATCTTCCTCCTGCTGTTCGCGCCCTTCATCGTCTATTACTTCATCATGGCCTGTGACCAGTACAGCTGCGCCCTGACTGGCCCCGTGGTGGACGTCGCCACTGGGCGTGCTCAGCTCTCAGACATCTGGGCTAAGACCCCACCTATAACGAGGAAAGCCGCCCAGCTCTATACCTTCTGGGTCACCTTCCAGGTCAGCAGCCCCAGCCCTGGGGTCGGGGCATAGTAGGTGGGCAGCGTGCCCTCCTGCTGGGTCATCCTTCCATTTGTCTGGTACATGGAACCTGACTCAGGTTGAAATCCGGGTTCCCAGGACCCAGCAGGGCAGTCCCTGGACTCTGGTGTGTTCAGATGCATCCTCAGATGTGGGGCGGGGGCACCTGTCCCATCGATATTTGATACACCTTCATACCATTCCCAGATGCGGTTCCTGAGCACGCCCAGCTCTGCAGGGACCAGCTGAGGGTGGGAGCGAGACCCCGTGGGAGGGCAGGGCCAGCCCGAGGAAGCCCCACAGTCGGCAGGAATCTTGGCTCACACCAGGCCTCCAAAGGAGCATCTCAGTCCCCAAAGGGACGCTGTCAGTCATGAAATGCCACTCAGCGAAGCCAAGGCCGTGTCTCCCCACAGGAGTCGTGGCAGGTCCGGGATGTCCTTAGCTCTGTTGTGTCCCCACTGGCCTCCGAGTCCAGAGGGAGTTCCAGGAACGGGTTGTTTCTACAGAAAACCCGGCACACCCAGGGGCGGTGATCATCACCTGAACCAGAAAAAGGTTTTCAGGGAAACGGTGCTAGAAGGAGGCCTGGGTTTTCCTTCCTGGGAGGGAGGATGGCACAGATCATAATTTTTAAATTTTTTTTGAGATGGAGTCTCGCTCTGTCACCCAGGCTGGAGTGCAATGGCGCGATCTCGACTCACTGCAGCCTCCCCCTCCAGGCTCAAGCGATTCTCCTGTGTCAGCCTCCCGAGTAGCTGGGACTGCAGGCTCTCACTGTCATGCCTGGCTAATTTTGATATTTTTATTAGAGACGGGGTTTCACCATACTGGTCACTGGTCTTAAACTCCTGACCTCGTGATCCGCCCGCCTCGGCCTCCCACAGTGCTGGGGTGACAGGTGTGAGCCACTGTGTCCGGCCCAGATCATGGCTGGCCATTTCTCCCCAGGGTCCAAGCTTTTGGGCTCCAGAATCCTTCTCAGTTCAGATCTCTTGGTCCCTTTGAGTGAAGAATGTCAGGGGCAATGTGAATGAGAAATAGACAAAAAGCGGGAACCCCCACCTGTCCCTCCACAGACGGACACACAGAACAGAACGCTAGTTAACAATGGAAGGCATGAGGAAGGCTCTGATGCAGGCCGCAAGGTGGATGACCCTTGAAGATGATGCTGAGCCAGAGAAGCCAGTCACAAACACCACTTACTGTGTGGGTCCGTCTGTATGCAGTGCCCAGAACAGGCAGATCTGCAGAGGCAGAAAGCTCAGTGGTAGCCAGGGCAGCAGGGACAGGGAATGCAGAGTGACCACGGACGGGAACCACATTTTGAAAGACGATGAACAAGTTCTGGAATGAGTGGCGATGGTTGCACAACCAACGATGTAAATGCACTAAATGCTGCTGAACTGTGTGCTTTAAAAGGGTGAATTTTAGCCGGGGGTGGTGGGCACAGCTGTAGCCCCAGCTCCTCGGGCTGCTGAGGTGGAAGGATCAGGAGCTCAGGAGGTCAGCACTGCAGTGAGCTATGATCGCACCACCGCGTTCCAGCCCGGGTGCTAGAGCAAGACCTCATCTAAAAAACATTTTTAAGGTGAATTTTGTAGGATTCTCCTTTTTTAAAAGGTCACCGGGAGGGATCTGTGTGCTCTCCTGAGGGGGGAATGGAGCCGTGCGGGAGAACACGTTGGCGCTTTTCCTGGTTGATGAGTTTACTGTCCCAGAACCACCTTCAAAACCAGCAGCCCAGCATTTTGAGCTTCCAGGAGCCGTAAGCGCTTCCAGAAGAAAAAGAGTGTGATTGCGATTCTCCTGTCCTGCTGTGCGTCCCCCTTTGCAGGTGGCCTCCAGGCGGGGGTGACCAGGCTGCTTCTGTGTTTCAGGTGCTTCTGTACACGTGTCTCCCAGACTTCTGCCATAAGTTCCTCCCCGGCTATGTAGGAGGCGTCCAGGAGGGGGCTGTGACTCCTGCAGGTAGCCCCCCCCCACCCTCCGCAGGCTCCCGTTCCTGTCCCTTCCTCTCAGGGGCCTGTCCTCCCCCATGCTGCTTCCTCCCTAAGACTTGTCACAGAATGGAAATCCGTTTCGCTTGGAGATTTTTCACAGCACCAGGCCTCAAAAACCATTGAGGGACACTGGAGCTGGGTCACACCCAGGTTAGAAATCCTTGCCATCCTTGGAAACCCACAAGGAGCCTGGCTTCATGCCTCTCATGTGGGTGCAGACTAGAATCCCACCTGACTCTGCCCTGAGAGGCTCCGTGTTTCGGGGCGTGAGTGGGCCGAGGCACTCCCCAACAATTACAGAAGGGGCCAGGGACACCACAGGGCCATCCTCACTTGCTTCTGCCCCTCAGCCCTGACTACCTTGTCAGACTGCGTACCTGTCACTCAGCCTACGGCCAGTTAACGCCATGCAGAACCAAAGGATGGATCGGCCTCCTCTCCCACCTCCCGGGATAGATCAGCCTCCTCTCCCACCTCCCGGGATAGATCAGCCTCCTCTCCCACCTCCCAGGACGGATTGGCCTCTTCTCTTGCCTCCCAGGAGTTAGGGGGAGCAGGCAGTTCCTTGGCCAAGGGTGTAGGGGTCTCAGAGATGGTGCCTGGGGCCGTGGATGAGGGTCTGTAGCAGCGGAGGCTCAGGGAGTGGCCAGGGCCCCCGCCAGGCATGCTTCAGCCCAGCCAAGCTCCTCACCGTAGGCTGGGAAAGCGCCTTGATTTCTGAGTCCTCATCCGCAGGGATTGTGAACAAGTATCAGATCAACGGCCTGCAAGCCTGGCTCGTCACGCACCTGCTCTGGTTTGTGACTGCTCACCTCCTGTCCTGGTTCTCACCCACCATCATCTTCGACAACTGGATCCCGCTGCTCTGGTGCGCCAACATCCTCGGCTACACCGTCTCCACCTTTGCGATGGTCAAGGGCTACCTCTTCCCCACCAGCGCCAGAGACCGGTACGTTCTTAGCAGCGGGTCCAGCCTGAGGCGGAAAGCCGAAACTTCCACCACTGGGCTTTTTTTTTGCTGCCTTGGGGCGGGTTGTTGTGAAGCATCGAATTGGGTGGCTTCTCCAGCCTTGGCAAGAATGCAGCTGAAGATGGCCAGGTCAGATGTGGTGGCCGGATCGCGGCCTTCAGGGCTGTCGTGGGGGTAGGGAAGCCAGAAAGAACTTCCGGCTTGGGACACGGGCAGCCCATGGCCTCTTTGGGCTAGGTGGTGAGGCCCAAAACAACCTTAGTGAAGAGTGCTGGTATCCCTGTGGCTTTAACAGCTTCGCAGGAGAGCCCTGCTGGTCTGTACCCAGCATGGAAGCCTTGGCTGGACAGTGGTCACGCCCACATCTGTCTGTCCACTCATCCATTCACCTGCCCATCTCCCCACCCATGCACCCCAGTCCACCCATTCATCCACCTACTCACCCATCATCTACCCACCCGTCACCCCATCCTGTTTACCCACCCATTATCCATCCATCTCTCCATCAGCCGCACGCACCCACCCATCATCCATCTGTCCAAACACCCATCATCCATCTATCCATCCACCCATCATCCATCCACCTCTCCATCACCCACATCCACCCACCCATCATCCATCTGTCCATCCACCCATCATCCATCTGTCCATCCACGTATCATCCATCTGTCCGTCCACCCATCATCCATCCATCCATCCATCACCCGCACCCACTCACCCATCATCCATCTGTCTAAATACCCATCATTCATCTGTCCATCCACCCATCCCTCCACCTACTCTCCCATCATCCATTCATCTATCTGCCCATCCACAGACCCACCCACCCATTTACTCGCCTATCTCCCCATACATCCACCCACCCACCCGCCTACCCATCCATCATCCATCTCATCCGCCTGCCCATCCACCCTCCACCCACCTACCCATCTATCTACCCACCCGTCATCCATTTGTCTGTCCACCCAACCACCTACCCACCCACCAACACATCTCAGCACGTACCCATCCATCCGCCCATCATCCATTCACCTACCCATCCGTCAACTCATCCGCCCATCATTTGCCATCCACCTGCTCATCTCCCATCCCTTTCCCCCATTCTTCCACCCACTCATCCTCCCATCCACCCGTCCATCCATCGTCCGTCCATCATCAACAAATGTTTGGTGGGGTTCTCTTGGGGACAGCTGCGGGCAGTGGGTCTTACAATTCAGTCAGGGGGATCTAAGAAACCACGGTGTGTTTCCTTTAACTGTTCCCACCTAGGCTCATGGGAGACGTTTCTGGAGGATGACTCTTTGTAGCTTGTGTGTTACCAGGTGATGAGGCTGGCCTTTGATGACTCCTGGAAATCATCCTCGCCACCTTATAATCACCAATGGTTGTAGACTTTGTGTTTTGCTTCTTTCTACTTAGCCTACCTGAGGGAACTAGACATGAAAATCAGATTTGCTAGTTAACACAGAAATTGCTCCGTGTCCTCAGCCAGCTGTACCTGACCTCCACAGGGGTTGTCTTGGCTGATGCTCTGACCGGCTAGGGACTGGGGGATTCCGGTAATTGGGCGAAGAACTTGTTCCATACATGCTGAAAGCCGGGCCCAGGGCAAGTTTTCAGTTGTCTACGTCGACATGATTTATAATGTCACTCACCCATGAGGGGCCACGTGCCCCAAGTGTGCTTCAGACATGTGCTTGGGCCCCAGAATGTCATCTCAGTGTAGTGGAGCCAGTTCTTCGGCTCACCTGTGCCATGCGTCAAGGGAACCTGGAGAAAGCTAGGTGCCAGCCTGAGCCTGTCTCCCACCCTTCCTGGGCACAGAGCAGGTGTCCCGGGACCTCTGCCTGAGCATGTCTCTGCTGAACTGCAGCTGAACGCGAAGAGAGCGTGAATAAGGGTACCGGGAACCAGGCCGACTGAAGCTTCTGGCTGTGGGGGTCCTGGCAGCTCATGGCCACCCTCTGCCTGGGCCATCTCACCTTACCCTTTGGGACCCTGGGCCAGTGCTGGGCTCCCACTAAGCAAGGTGGCCCCGTGTTGTGAGATGTGCCCATCTACTGAATGTATCTTTTATTTGTACTTTTAAGCAAATTCACAGGCAATTTCTTTTACAACTACATGATGGGCATCGAGTTTAACCCCCGGATCGGGGAGTGGTTTGACTTCAAGCTGTTCTTCAACGGGCGCCCCGGGATCGTCGCCTGGACCCTCATCAACCTGTCCTTCGCAGCGAAGCAGCGGGAGCTGCACGGTCACGTGACCAACTCCATGGTCCTGGTCAATATCCTGCAGGTGCCTGTCAGGGCTGGAGGGGGTACAACGCCGATGCTAGCGGGCTCTGGGGAAACCCAAAAGCCAGCGCGTGTTCCCGTGACCTTAATCTGTCACATGTAGTAGAGAATCAGCACCCTCCCCAGGTGTCACCAGGAAGTGGCCGGCGAGCAGATGGTGAAGGAAGCCATCCTCGGGTGTCAGTCACTGCCGCCCTGGGTGGGGAAGGAGGCAGGTGCTGTGCAGCCAGGCGTGGTCCGGGAAGGTCTCCCTTGGGAATTACACCTGGGTAGAATCTGGGGGTGAGTGGGGGTTAACCTGGTAGAGTGGAGGCGAGAGGGCCTGCTCCAGGCACCCCCTATAGCGGGAGAGGGTGGCAAGCCTGGGAAACTGAGGAACGTCCCACATCCTGAGCAGAGAGCATTCAGGAGCTTGGAGCCTGGTGAGGCTGGAGGCCTCATGGAAGTCTGTCTCTTAATCTTAAAAGCAGCAAGGCCCAGAAAGTGTGTGCGGAGCCGGGGTGCAGGGTGGCAGGGATCAGGTGTGTTCAGAAGCATTACCCAGGGAGCCCTCGAGGGTGAGGGAGACTGGTCGGGCTGCGGACGCTGCTCAGGCGGTAGGTTGACCTGGGTTGGATGAATTCCTTCCCCTCAGCACGAGCCATTGCAGGTCCTGAGAATTGGGCTTGAAGAGACGCCAGGGCCATGGGCTCAGGCTGACTCTGAGGACGCCCTTACCGCTGCCCACGTCCCAGGCAGAAACAGCCCCCAATGCGCGTTGCGAAAGTTGCTCAGCAGCTCCCCGAGTGCCCCCTCCCGCTTCCACCTGGAGCGTGGTCGCCCCAAGGCCCGTCTGGGCTCCGGGAGAGCCGGGGTTGGTCAGCGGCGGCTTCTGTGTCGCAGGCCATCTACGTGCTCGACTTCTTCTGGAATGAAACCTGGTACCTGAAGACCATTGACATCTGCCATGACCACTTCGGGTGGTACCTGGGCTGGGGCGACTGTGTCTGGCTGCCGTACCTTTACACGCTGCAGGTGAGGAGCTGGGTAAGGTGGGGGCTGGCCCCGCAGGGCATTTGGAAGGCACATGCAAAGCTTTCTCCTTGCAGAAGTCTCTGTCCTTGGGGGCGCCCAAGCTGCTCCCTGTTTCTCGGAAGAAGGGAAGGCCCATGTATTAGCCAGCTCCGGCACCTTGGGCTACCAGCCAAGGGGGTGGCCTTGAGCATGTTCCCAACACCATCTGCAAAGTAGGGCAGATGCCAGCTCAGGGCTGGATGGGGCTGTGGAGGTGGAGGTGGGTCAGTACAGGCACCGGCAGCAAGGGTCCTCTTCATTCCTGCCTCCTAGCATGCGCTGGGCACTAGGGCAGGGCTGCCCTGGGGGTTCCGAGGCAGTGTGGGACAGCGAATGGCCTTGTCATTGGCATCAAGCCCCCCACTCCCTTCCCAGTTCAATGAGGGCAGCCCTGCTCTGATCTGGGAGGAGTGCTGGGCTCCCAGGTAAGGTGGCCGCTTGACCAGATGGCACCTGCCCATTTGAAGAGCGAGGAGCTCCCTGAGGACAGAAAGAACTCACCCCAGGGCACTCGCTTAGCTGCACGGCGGGGTGGCCTGCCCCAAGAGCTGCACATGAGGGGAGAGAACCAATATGGAGAGGCTGCCACCTGTTCAGGATGTGACAGGCCCAGTGTCACCTGTGACAGCCAGTCCTGTGGGACAGAGGCGCGGGTGCCCTGGAATAGCAGGGCACCCACAACAGAGAGGGCCAGCACCAGGTGGAGGGTGCAGAGCCCCCGCTGGCCCCTGCTCACGCCGGGTCCTCGGAGCCCCGCTTGGCCACCCGGCCTCATTTCTCCACCTGGCTGGCTGCAGGCCCGCTGGCCCCCTGGTTTTATAAATTCCATTTTCCAGGCATGTGACAGTGTAGTGATATATAAAACCTCCTCCTTGCTTTAGTCTCTGCGTGTGTCTTAAGATCTATGTACAATTTGATACTCTATTTGCATTAGGCTTCTCTGAAGAAGTACAATCAGTAGAGGGGTGGAGGGCGTACGTGTAAGAGAGAGGTGTGCTTTTCAGCTCCCGTGATTGAGGGCGGCAAGTCCCAAATCTTCAGGGCAGCCTGGAGCCCCAGAAAAGAGCTGATACTATGTTTCCGTAGAAGGCCGCTTTTCGGCAGATCCCTTCTGCTTTGGGGAAGGTGGAACTTTCGTCTCTTATGGCCTTCAACTGATTGGATGAGGCCCACCCCCATTGTGAAGGATCGTCTGCTCTGCCTGGTCTACTGATTAGCATGTGAAACTCATCTGAAAAATGCTTTACAACTGGAATAGTGTTTCTTCAAATATTGGGGAACATAGTGGATAAGTGGACACATTAAATTGGCCATCACCGTATTAGATTATATACATATATAATTTTTTTTTTTGAGACGGAGTTTTACTCTTGTCACCCAGGCTGCAGTGCAATGGCACAATCTCAGCTCACTGCAACCTCCGCCTCCTGGGTTCAAGCCATTCTCCTGCCTCAGCCTCCTGAGTAGCTGGGATTACAGACATGTGCCACCACACCCGGCTAAATTTGTATTTTTAGTAGAGATGGGGTTTTTCCATGTTGGTCAGCCTGGTCTCGAACTCCCAACCTCAGGTGGTCCACCCACCTCGGCCTCCGAAAGTGCTGGGATTATAGGCATAAGCCACCGTGCCTGGCCTTCAAATTATATTTTTAATACTTACACCTATTTTATATTTATATTATATGTCATCTGTGGGGGCATATAGACACACACACACAGAGACAGGTAGAAGGCAGACCATTCAATTCCCACAGCAGCCCTCGAGGTAGGTGCTTCTATTTATGGAAGAGAACACCCAGGCAAGGCGTGTGTCAGAGGCAGAGCTGGGGTTTGACGCCAAGCCGCCAGGCGCCCGAGCCCACGCTCCTGTCCCCTCCCTGGGTGAAGCACCGCTGGACCCCTTTCTCCTCGCCCCCCAGGGTCTGTACTTGGTGTATCACCCCGTGGAGCTGTCCACCCCGCACGCCGTGGGCATCCTGCTGCTGGGCCTGGTGGGCTACTATGTCTTCCGGGTCGCCAACCACCAGAAGGACCTGTTCCGCCGCACGGACGGGCGCTGCCTCATCTGGGGCAGGAAGCCCAAGGCCATCGAGTGCTCCTACGCATCCGCTGACGGCCAGCGGCACCACAGCAAGCTGCTGGTGTCGGGCTTCTGGGGCGTGGCCCGCCACTTCAACTACGTCGGCGACCTGATGGGCAGCCTGGCCTACTGCCTGGCCTGTGGCGGCGGCCACCTGCTGCCCTACTTCTACATCATCTACATGGCCATCCTGCTGACCCACCGCTGCCTCCGGGACGAGCACCGCTGTGCCAGCAAGTACGGCCGGGACTGGGAGCGCTACACGGCCGCCGTGCCTTACCGCCTGCTGCCTGGAATCTTCTAAGGGGGCACCCCAGGGAGAAGCCCAGCGGGGCTGTCGAGAGTATCTTCTGCCAGGTCCGTGCGGGCGGGCCTCCCAGCTCCGACTCTAGGGGCCTCGGTTTCCTGGCAGGTATCCGGTACACAGTAACACTGTGTTCCTGGCTTTTGTCTTCAAGGAAATTCGAGTTTACACCACTGCCGTGTTACCAACACAGACCGATTTCCTCTGATCGGTGTCCCTGGGGCAGGAGGGTGACCTGGTCACCTCTACTAGTCCTTTGGAGAAAATCGATTTGTCTTAGGAGCCCAGGCCGCACTACGCCGCACAAACTGCTGTCAGACGCGTAGCAGGACGTCTTCCCGCGCCCCGTGATGAGGCTGCATTTATTCTTGCGAAATAAAAGCGGGAGTGGGATGTGGGGTGCGCCGGTTATCGGTGTGTTGCCTTTGAGCTCCGGGTCCCCCTCCCCGGCTGCTCTGCGGCAGCACGCGGGGCCCACGCCACCTTTCTCCTTGGTCGCGTGCACAGTGTTGAATTGGCCAGTGGAAGGTGCCCAGGGACGCTGGGGAGGAAGCAGCTTCTCTTTCCAGCTCCAGGGCTTCTGAGTCATTTCCTTCCTGCTGCATAGCTGCCAGGGGCACACAGCGGGCATCAGGGCGCTCTGCCTGGAGCATGCAGACCTCAGAGGTCCCAGCACCAGCTGTGGCCTTTTGGGTAGGGCGAGTGGGCTCCGCTCCCCGAACCCCTGTGAGCGTCCACCCAGCAGCCTCAGCGCCCATCCCCGGGAAGGAATTTTCGCTTGCCCTGTGACTGCACAGACTCTGGCTCGGACCACCCGGGGAACCCCCTCGGGGGGCCTCCCACACCTTCTCCAGCGAGGAGGTCTCAGTTCAGGCCTTGGGCGGGCACCTCCTTTCACACGCTTTCTTACCTGGGCATTCTCCCTCACCCCTAGAGTGTTGCGTGATACTCTTTTTAAACTTTACACTCTTAGTAGAGTGCATCTTTATATTAAACTTTCCCGGTTGAGATAAATGGCTGTGTGGTTTCTGACTCGTGAATGGGCCTGACCGCGGGTCCGACCGGTACTCGTGGCAGCTTCCGGTATGAGAAGGGACGCCCAAGAGAGGCGCTTGGGTGCGGCGTCAGAGTGTCGGGTACGCATGGGTGCACGGTGCCCCCCCGTCCCTCTCCCTCCCATCTCGGCCCTTTGCTGGGGCTGTTTTCGGGCTGGATGTGGAGAGTGTTCCCTTCACCAAGAAGACGAAGCCAGGCTTGACCACCTGACCCCAGCAAGAGAACGGAGAAGCCAGAAAGATGGTGTCAGGTTTGTCTTACGCCTGGAGAAATGGGAGAGTTTCACACAGGTGACGAGCCAGTGCCCACGCCGGGGCAGGGGGCCAAGCTCAGAGTGGCTTCGCATTTCCAGATCCCATAGCCAGGCCTCCCAGACAACCTGGAGGGGATGGGAACTGTGGCCACCCAGACTGACTGAGGAGCCCTGATGCTCACGCACTGGCCCCCACCGCTGCCTGTTTGAAGATACCGGCCTGAGGGGTTCCAAGCATCCGTGCTCGACACAGAACATGAGAGTGATTCAAATACCTGGCAGACAGTATCATGCTGCCCTGCATGGCTCTGAGCGCACGGGACCTGCCTTTCTTCCCAGACCTTGAGCTAATTCATTTCACAGAGGCTGGGGTGTGGTCGCTGTGAACTCAGATCCAGGCCTCCCTGCCCACGTCAGAATCTTGGCCCCAGCATTCGAGAGCTGTATGACCCTGAGTAGGTGACTTACCCTCTCTGGGTCTCAGCTTCCTGTTTTGAAAGAGGAGGGTCATTGCTATCTTCCTGCCTTGATGTGAGAAGGGCTTCCCAGGCCGGTTTGGTGGGAGAGCTCTGGGTTCGGGTGCAGAGCAGCCTCTCCAGCAGCCGGGGTTTGGTTTTGGTGGTTTGGTTTCTGTTTGAGCAGCTTTGCGCTGGGTTGCGGCTTCCTCTTCCATGCACCTTGCATTTTTGTTCAATGGGTTCTGCAGATGCAAGGCTGTGGCACGTGCTCTCCCACCAGACACATCTGCCCTCACGCGTCCCCAGATGGAGCCAACTTGTCTCTGGGCGAGAGCAGGATGACTCAGGAGCTCAGATTAGAAAGTGCCAGCCTCACGCCGGGCGCGGTGGTTCAAGCCTGTAATCCCAGCACTTTGGGAGGCCGAGGCGGGTGGATCACGAGGTCGAGAGATCGAGACCATCCTGGTCAACATGGTGAAACCCCGTCTCTACTAAAAATACAAAAAACTAGCTGGGCGTGGTGGTGCATGCCTGTAATCCCAGCTACTCAGGAGGCAGAGGCAGGAGAATTGCCTGAGCCCAGGAGGCGGAGGTTGCGGTGAGCCGAGATCGCGCCATTGCACTCCAGCCTGGGTAACAAGAGCGAAAACTCCGTCTCAAAAAAAAAAAGTGCCAGCCTCTGCCATTCTCCAGGTACACAGTGCATTCTGCTCCCAGTGAAGCTGTGCACCTGATCTTTGAGAAGCCTGACCTTCTGCCCCCTTCCAGAGTGAAGGGCAGCTCGGACTGATTGCCAGGGCCAGCTGATCTGTGCTTTATGGGGCATAGTGCTGCCCTCTGATAAGGGGCGGGCATCCCGTACCCCAGGACGGGGTCAGTGCAGGAACACAGTGGGCACATTCCATGAGGAGATTCAGTCCTGACACGCCCCACCCTCCCCAAACTCAGCCTTGGAAAGCAAGGCAAGGACTTTCTCAGAACCCACCCTCCTGTCGGCTCAGCACGTCTGCTTCCTGGTCCACGTTTAATGATCAATTACTAAGCACACATCTCTGTCCTGGGAGGAGCCGGGCAGATTGCGGGCGCTGCCTTTGATGGCAGAGCTGATTTCTTGGGAATCTGAGGCCTGGACTTTGAAGCAACTCTCCCCAAATGACAGAACTAGCAACTGGTAGAGGCCAAATTTAAATGCAGGAGGAGGGGTGCAGGGAGGTGCAGGTCCCAGGGCACAAAGTTTTGGTTAGACAGGAGGGTGTGTCTCTGAGATCTTTGCACAGCATGGTGGCCGGCCATAGTTAAGAAATATTATATATTTCAACATTGCTAAGAGTAGCTTTTCAATATTCTCACCATATCCACAAAAAATACATAGGTGAAGGCATGGATATGTTAATTAGCTTGATCTTACTCATTCTACAATTTACTCATATATCAAAACATCACCTTGTACCCCATAAATATATACAATTATTGTCAACTGAAAATACCATTAAAAATACAAATGATCAATGAAGATCTGAAAAGCTGTTCAACTTCCCTGCAGAGGAGTCACTGAAACATCACATTTATTTAAAATACAGAAGAAAAAACCACAGGCTGTTACCACCACCATGCAGCTATGAAGAGCATTTATGTTTATGTTTTGGTACATATCCTTTTATGAATATATTCCATATGAAAACTTTATTAATTTTTGAGGCAGAGTCTTGCTGTGCCCAGGCTGGAGTGCAGTGGCGCGATCACGGCCTGCTAGACGAAGGAAAATCAACATCATGTGACCCTGTGGCAAACTTTATCAATTTGGCAAATTTCATTGAAACAGTAACTCCCAGTATTACCAAGGTCCACAAGACACCAGTGTTCTCCTAAACGGCACGTAGGAGTTTCCTTGATCCATTAATTCAGTTCAAGAAATTCACCCTGAAGAATTCAAGGGAGGAGAAATATGTTTCAATAACAATGTCCGTGCGAGTGTAGTTAATAATAAAGTTTTCTGCCAGGTGCAGGGGCTCACACCTGTAATCCCAGCACTTTGGGAGGTCAACATGGGCAGATCCCTTGAGTTCAGCAGTTCGAAACCAGCCTGGGCAACATGGCGAAACCCCGTCTCTACAAAAGCAATTCAAAAATTAGCTGGACATGGTGGCACATGTCTGTAGTCCAGCAACTCAGGAGGCCGAGGCAGGAGGATCACCTGAGCCTGGGGAGGTTGAGGCTATAGTGGGCCGTGATTGTGCCATTGCACTCCAGCCTGGGCAACAGCAAGATCCTATCTCAAAAAAAGTTAATAATGTTTTCATATGAAATATATACATCAAAGGGTATATAGCAAAACATAAACATTCATGCTATTCATTGCTGCATGGCATAGGTAATCGATGGTTAGTTTTTTTTCTGTATCTTTAATAAATGTTATTTTTCAGTAACTTCTCTGCAGGATTATATTAGAGATGAGGAAGGTTGCACCCAGACAGATACGATGCATTTGTTTTTAACAAACTAGACCTTCCTGCCCTAGGCAGGCCAAAGAGAAGGAGGACTTCCGGCCAGGAGGGGGTTTCCATGCAGACGCCGGTGCTACCGAGGGCCCACTGGGCTTAGCTTCATTGCGTTGCCGACAGGGAGGGCGGTTTCGGGAGCGGGAGTCAGGTGTCTGCAGTTCGCTTCTGCTCAGAGCTCCCCTCTTGTCTGGGGGACTGCCGGAGGTGGGTGTCAGTGATAGCGACAGGGGGCAGCCAGTGCCCAGCAGACAGGGGCGGGTCCCCAGTGAAGCCCGGCCTCCAAGCCCAAGACAGTTTAAAGGCTGAAAGCTGAGCTATAAGTTAAATCCCCCGACCGAATTGAGAACTTGTCTTCCTGTTTGGTGCAAATTTCGCTGGCGGATCCCCACCCTTCTTCCCCTATTTTACATACAGCTGCGTGTTCCTAATTGGTTTTCTACACTGTCGTGGCCGTGGCCCCCTTGGGGTGGCATCTTTGCTTTAACTTTTTGTTGTTTTTTTTGAGACAGTCTCACTTTGTCACCCAGGCTGGAGTGCAGTGGCTCCATCTCGGCTCACTGCAACCTCTGCCTCCAGGTTCAAGCGATTCTCCTGCCTCAGCCTCCCAAGTAGCTGGGATTACAGGCGTGTGCCACCATACACAGCTGATTTTTATATTTTTAGTAGAGATGGGCTTTAGCCATATTGGCCAGGCTGGTCTTGAACTCCTGACCTCAGGTGATCCGCCTGCCTCAGCCTCCCATAGTGCTGGGGTCATAGGCATGAGCCACCCCGCCTGGCCTCATTTTAACCTTTTTTTTTTTTTTTTTTTTTTTTTTGCATGCTCACAAGCCAATCAGCATGCACTCCCCATCCTGTGCCTATAAAGACCCCAGACTCAGTGGGTGGAGGGGAGATGGCCTGACTTTGGAGAAGAGACCTCGTGACTTCAGGGAAGATGACTTGCCCTTCCTGGCCCCTCTCCAGCTCCCCTCTCCACTGAGAGCTGTCTTCATTGCTCCATAAAATGGTCCGCCTTCACCATCCTTCTAATCGTCCACGTGACTTCATTCTTGGATGCTGGACAAGAGCAGGACCCACCTCGTGTGGGTACCCAGAAAGGCTGTCACAATGGCCCTTTGTCCTTGCCAGCGGAAGGCAGCCACCCCATGTGCCAAGGCAGGGGACCAGCCAAGCTGCTAACACAGCACCATCCCCAAATGGCAGGACTCGGGGAGCAATGTAACACCTCCTCTGAGGCTTTGGCGTCACAAGCACCCTCACCTGGGTGCTGCCATGTTCCCCTTGAGGCAACACGCCTGGTCAGGCCGCAGGTCCCGCATGGAGCTTGCCCCCGTGTCTGTGCCTGGATCGGCTGCCTGGATCCCATGCTGTGTCCCTCTCGTGCTCCCTCCCACAAGGGGTTAAGGACAGCGAGCTGAGCAGACGGAGCCCCTTCTGTGGGTCCTATGAAGGGACCAAGAAAAACCATGCATTATCAGGAGAGGGAAGGCCAGGCCACTGCCCTGCCAGATTTTCTGGTCAAGAGGCCTCGTTTAGGAGAACATTCCATGCCGACTTGAGAGCGAAGTCCCCGCTGTGCGATTATTTCATCAGGATGGGCAGATTATTCTCCCTGAGTGCCTTCTCAGCTCACAGATCCATTCTTGTCCCTTTACCAAACCTTGGTCTCCACATCTGTTAGGAAATCTGGATGTTGCCTGGGAAGACCAAGTCTGCACTGACGGGGAGCTGGGGATGGGATGG